CTCCTCGCAGAGTTTCTGTCCCCGTTCATCTTTTTCTTCCTGTCTGTTTTGTCTCGATTTCTGGAGATAGGTGAGGTGACCGGAGATCAATAGAGAAGGAGTGCGCACACACACACACGCACACACACACACGCACACACAGGGCTACACAAACATCACCCACAGACTCAAACTGCTGAGCAGGTGAATTTCATTCATTCACATTCTCCATACAGAGACACCACCATCCCAGTTATTGATCACAGAGGTGATGGATCGATTTGAGCACCGCTGCCATAGTTGTGTGTCTCTCTGTGTGTGTGTGTGTGTTTGTAGCTATTTTTATTCCTCACCCGTACTGTGACATAGCTGTAAATATGTTTATTTGGGACTTGTTGGGCAGAGTATGGTCTAGATCTGCTCGGTTTGGAAAGCACTGTTGTTGTGATTTGGTGCTATATGAATCAAATTAGATTGAATAGCAATATTTTGAATAACGTGTTGAAGAGGTTTAACAGTTCAACAGAACAGAGGAGGTATAAGAGGTCATAAAAGACGTCAGAATAAAACAGTCAGATTAGACTAAATATCGAGTTAAAGATGGGAAGCGTGCTGTATCAGATTTATGTCTTAATCAATAAGCTCTTTGTTTCTGTGTGGGAGCGTCCAGCGGAGCAGAGTGCTGCAACATGATGATTTACATCGGTGATTTGTATGGAACCGCCGCAGCTCAGAGGGGAGCTGGGAGACGGAGAGGGCAGGAGAGAGATGGGCAGAACGCAAGCAGAGGGCAACGGGAAGCTTAAGGAGGCTTAAAGGAGAGAGGAAGGAAAAAATAAGGATGAAGAAACGGACGATTAAGGCACAGAGAAGTCATCCGGGCACGAGGAATGCTGGGGGAAAGGAGGAGAAATGGCCAGAAGAAGAGGAGAGAAGGCAAAAAGAAGGGGGGCTACTAAGCTGTTGTATCTGCTGATGACAGACAAAAAAACAACAACTCGTGGCTTAAAATAGAAGAGCTGAAACGCCTCAAATCCAGATTCTCTTTGTGATCCCCACTCTTATTTTATCGGCCTGTAAAATCTATTTTTTTCCGTTACTTCTCTGATTCGGGACATAACTTTCTGTGTGCCTCTCTGATAGAAATAAGCTCAGTGAGGCTGTGGGGGGGCACCTGCTCAGGTCAACAGCTCAGTGAACTGGCACAGGCTGTGGTACTGGCTTATTCCAGGGAGAAAACAGGGCATTTGTCGTCATTTTAAGCACATAAATGAGTGTTTTGTGGGGGGGAGATGGGGGCTCAGATGGCCGTGGGATGCACTTCAGATGCAGTTGCTGTTGTGTAGAGCTAGGTGGTGCTGTCAGCCCACTCGGTGTGTGTGTCTGTGTGTTTGTGTGTGTGTGATGTAGTGATCAGTCCGGGTTTCTTCTTATAAGAGACAGTTGCATCAGTTCGAACTCTGATTGTTGATCTGTATATTTATTATCCTCCACTCATTTCTGTATTCAGAATGTCAGACTTCATTAATAGTTTTTATTGTTTATTTTGTCAAGGCAGTGGTACAAAATTCTGATTAATATCTGTATGGAAAAAGGGCTAACTAGTTACCTCTCTTTTCTCCATCGTCCTTTGTGTGTGTTAGTATCAAAACTTAAAGCAAACCGTGTTCCCAGTTTACAAAATCACATGTCCTGACTCACTGTGCGTGTGGCCACCGGACACACTCGCACACAAACACGCACACACACTCACACACACATCCAGTCGGGCGCCATAGATTTTTCTCAGGGTAAGTGGTCCTGAGTGGAAATCAAAGGTCAGTGGTGTACAGATAGCTAAAGCATATTCAAAGATTGTCTGTGTGTGTGTCTGTCTGTGTGTGTATGTGTGTGTGTGCATGATTATGCGTGTGAGCCCCACTCAGGCTCAGTCAAAGCAGCAGATTGGAGCATTTTATTGATCCACACCCAAAAAATCAATGCAGTGATCAATGGAGCCATAATCGAGCTGATTAAAAAGCTTATTATTTGGAACAAGATGGTAAATAAGATGGTAATATGAGTCTGCATGTTTTAGCAAATGTTATGTACTGACATTCTGAACTGTATCAGTTTCACGTGCCCTTCAGAAGGAAGCCCCCCCAGATTGGTCAGCAGAGTGAGGTCCAGTCTGCACACGTTGGTGCTCATTTCCACTGGAATGCATCACTTGGTGCTGAGGTCTTCTTAAATGAATCTGCAGGACGTCAGGGGCTGTGAAGCAGCACCACAGTTTGGAGGACACGTGCCACTTTCAACAACTTTTTGTCAACTGTAATTTGTATTTCTTAGAGCTGTTTGTTCTCCCCATAGCCGTCCAGGATCTCACAGAAGCATCTTCTTCTGATAATATTTATAGGTCAACATAGACGGAAGGGGAATTGATCTCATGGTCAGATTGAAAAACATATTTTTTACCCTCACATTAGCATCCACCACCTGGTCAAGCTATTAATTAATAGTCATTTAAACTTAAAGGTTCCCTTTGAGTAAGGGCAGGTGTGTGATATTCTGTAGGGACAGTAGAGTCACAGTAGGGCAATGTAACCTCCCAAAACTAGCTGGATTTGGTCTCACGTCAGACACAAAGCACACAAATGATTTCTGCTCCTAAAGCGAGCTCACAAAAGGATGACGGTGTCCGTGCACGAGCCGGTCAGCAGCGCCGTCACAGCTCAGGCCGACGCAGGAGAGGAAGAAACCATTCGGCTCACGTCTGGGTCCCTAACCCTAACCCTGCAGGGAGAATGACACCACGTCAAAGAGAAATGACCGTCCACAGGCATGTTTGAGCCTCATCAGGTGGTCTGAGGGACCCATGTGCTGCCAGGGATTGTTGAGCATTCGAGGGGCCTCCAGTGATGGGAGGTCTTCTCAGACCTTATTCTGGGTTAGAGCAGTTCCTAATTTGTCCCCATCTAAGATCTTAATCTTCTGAGCCGCCAATCAAGCACAAATCTACTACTTTTAGGTGTATGACAATGCTTCTACTACGTTTTGTGGAAAGCTCAGAGGATGTGGATGCTTGGCTTTTCATGCTCTGACGATGTCACTTTTCTTTTGGCTGAAAATGGACACATCATTTCTCTGACTGTTGACTCGGTGACAGATTTGGGCTCTTGCCTCTGACTTTGCAAGGGTTTTTTCGTTCCGTTCCCATCAAAGTGACATTCTCTCTTAGTTTTCCAGCCCTTTTATTCTTTTGGTTTTCACTTTCTTTGTTTGGGGCTTTAGTTCTCCTCTACAGAACATCTTCCCTGTCTCGTGTCCTTTTTTTAGTCTTATCACTCTTTGATTTCTAAGTTGTTGCTGATTAGTTAAACGTCTTTTAAAGCAAGTGTTCAGTTGTCATTTTGTCGTGTGTGTGTAACTTTAATCTCTGCCACCTGCTGTTTGACTAGAACTGAAAAAGAATTATTCAAGGCTTGAATTGAAAGAGTGATGGAAGGACTGACTGGCCAATCAGAAGAAAGTCCCTTTAGTTACTTTACTAAACATAAGTTATTTTTTCAATCTGAAGGGGCTCAAAAAAAGAGAATTATTAGATGAAGAAGCTGAATGTAAAGGAAACTCAGAGAGTCAGATTGGATCTGCCATGTTGGGAGAGAGGGAGCAGGACAATGAGAGAAATCTGTGTTAGACAGATGGAAGTGGGGAGGGTGGCAGAACATGGATGTGTGAGAGTTTGAGAGAATAGCTGGTGAGATATGGATGAGAACATGGCAAGAAGAGGTGTGATATTGTGTAACTCCACACTATCGTGCTCTCTGCCTGGTGAGGCTTTGCTGGATAGAAAGTGCACACATGAAGTGTGTGTTCCTACACAATCGAGCCTTTGTGGAGGCTGCGGCACTTGGAAAAAGGTCCAAAAGCAGCATTGTTGTCTGGATTTTACAGTTATTTCTCAGGGAAGGCTTTTCCTGTTCTCAGGTCTAAAGAAAACCAGGTTTAAATGAAACATTTTGGCTTTCAAATTTCTTCATCTGTTTGCTTGAGTGCGTCTTTGCCGTTGGTTTCTTTCCCCCCCGGCAGAAGCCAGCAGATCACGGCGTGCTCGCCCCCCCCACGGGGCGGCGTGAGGGCGCATGGCGGCCAGCAGGAAGCCTCTAGCTTTGCTGGCAACGCCGCTTTTCTTTGCTCTTTGTCACCACAGACAGAGCGCACACACAGGCCTGTGCACGCGCCGGTCTGTTGGACCTTTGCATGGAGGCCCCCAGAACAGTGTGTTGACCGGCTGGGTGCGGCGTGGGGCTGAATGCAGACTCAGTGGACAGGGATTCTCCATATATCACTGTAAAGCGCTGGCAGAGGCGCTCACACACTCAAAGGGACACAGATGGAGGCAGCTGTTAATCAGTAGGCGCACACTGTCAGAGCAATGCTGGGCTCCTTGGATGTCCTCTATAGTGTCCTCATCCACAAGGTAGCTTATGCCAGTCGTGTGTATACATCTCTTACTTCCAGTCTGTGTCTAGAAAAGAACACATCATGCATCATTTCTCTGTTTTAAAGTTGGGAAGTGAGATTTTCCTTTTTATTTATGTCCATTTTGTCTCTAAAAACAGAATTGCGTGTTTTGATTCAGCTTTTTCTTTATACAAAAGACTTAAGTTGGTCATCACCTGTTTTTTCTCTAACATCGTCCTCTAACTTGTTTCACAGGTGCCATGGTAACTGTACAAACTCCGTCATGAGAGGCAGTTTGACAGGATGAATCTTTAATGGTTGTGAGATAAAAAAAAGACAGTGGGTAACATTGTGTGTTTGTTTCCTAGCTGATGGCGGTGTATGAGGAGCAGGAGGCCCAGCAGAGAGATGGGGGTAACGGCAGCCTGACCCCCAGCCCTGACCACCTCCAAGCTGAGCTCTCTGTCTTCCAGCCGGTCAGCGGAGGAGAGATTGAAGTCAATTCCTCGGCCCTCAAGTCCAGTCAGTATTCGTTTGCTTCTGGTGATGTTTGTCTGTGTCCACCAAAACTTTTGGAGATTTTTTTGTTGGCCAATTACATGTTTAAAGACTGTTGTCTGATAAGTCAACACAGTTCAGTCTTTTTGCTCCAGCAGAAGTTGTAGATCACAACTTCTCATGGCTCGCAAGTGAAAAATATCCCACTTTTTCTGGTAAATCTGGATAAAAAGGCTATTCTTATCAAGTGTATGGCTTTAAGTGGCCATGTGGACAAACATGTGACCCACTTTTTACCTGGTTGGTGGGTTTTGTTAGCTCTCTCTTTCATGGTAGAATGCTTATTATGAACTTTACATGTTCTAACAATGGCTTTTATGTTTCAATGGATAATAAAAAGGTTTACTTTTTTTTTTTTTTTTACACATTAACCAAAGCCCCTAACCTGTATTGGAAGCTCTTTGATCTTCAGCGTTTTTCTTTGTTTAAGGTCATGCAGTCACTTGGGTCTTCCACAAAACGTTTTGTTTGTGGACTGGGATCATCTTCCACACTGCTGGATTTAAATGAACGATTTATTATAAGTAATTAAAAGCAATAGATCTTAATTTAGGACTTCATGATGGAGGTGCTGAAAGCAACATTTGACTTCCTTTAAGTTATTTGTTTTTTTTTAATTAAAGATTCTATTGAAGTTGTGTGTCATTGCATGACATAAAACCCGAAACAGATTTAATTAGACAAAATATAACAAACACCTAGTTCGTGGTTTCAGAGCCACATATGCTTTAAAGCGGTCCCTTAAAGTTGTAGCGTAGACGGAGGTGAGGATGCGATGGGTTAGGGTTCGGGTCAGTAATGGAAGCAGGTCGGCCGAAGTTTAAATGTTGGACGCTCCTGAGGTGTGAGAGCGAGTCCGATGTGGAGCCAGAGCAGACAGGAAGTACACGTGTTCTGTCAGGCTGCAGAGCACACAGGGATGTCTGCTTACTGTCACCTGGACCAGACCTTTAAGCGTGTCTCTCTTTTGTTTCTTTTACCTTTTTGTTCTCTGTGTTTTGTACTTTTCTGTCTTACCTCAGTTCCAGTCAAGTGTTCTGTGGAAAAACTGTCAAGTGTGAGAGGCCAGACTCTGAGCTTGATTTCAGCTCACTAAATCAAAGCTGGACTCATTTTTATATATATATATATATAATCTTCATAAAATTATGTTTTGTAAGTGGTTTTTAGTTCAAGTTACATTCTGTCAGCCGGGGGAAAACTTAAAGATGGCCAGACTTCTGGTTCTCCTGTCCCTCACATAATTCCACAAACGTTTTCCAGAGCCCCACAAAAGACTGTCATTCGTCTGTGTAAATATCTGATGGAGCACGAGGCGCTTTAAGTGGTGTAACGCAGCATTCCTGAATCATGAGGCTGCCCCGTAGCATCCAGACTCCGCTGGACGGGAAGTTTAGTCTGTCTCAGCACGGCCGCCTGTCAGTGCAGATTAGCCCTAATGTGTCACTGTCATGGGAGATTACAAGTGCAGTGCTCTGGAGAGCATCACTGTCAGAGGATGAAGGTCAGTGTTTGGCCTCTGTCACCGGGGGACGCTCTGCCGCCCAGCCCAACTCCCACAGTCTTCAACATCTACGTGTTTGTGTCTATCCTTCATCGATCTGTTCGGATGTGCTCTTTCCAGATCATATTTGGACTTTTTCATAATCCTGCCCCTCCTCCCACCCTTTTTTTCTCCACACCCTACCTGGTTGTAGGATCTTTACATCGCTGTTTTCTTTTGTAATCTCTCATCCTCTGTTGAGGTAGTTTTCCTTTGAGGTGATAATCATTCATCATGGACTCACAGTCGGATCCACAGTCTTTCAATACTTCTGCTTTTAAAGATGAAGATAGCCACAGCCAAACCTGCCTCTTACAGGGAGGGGCCTGAAGCTGACCACCCTCTCCTCCTGGTGTCTGTGTGCAGGTGGGACGTATTAGGCAGCCAGTGAGCATTTTGTCTTCAGAGTTGAAAATGGAGACAGCATAAGGTTTCAATTGAGTCTGACAGGGGTCACTTTGATGGCCGGATGACCGGATCAGAGCGGCTCCAAACCTGAGGGGAGTTTCTCTTCTGTTGGTGTTGGCATGTGGTGAGTGAAGTGCTGCAGACCGGCTGCAGACCGGCTGCAGACCAGCCAGGTGCCCATGTTCCCACCTTCCTGGACATGTGAGGATCAGGGCTGGACCATGGAGCCACAGGAGAAGACGGCCGGGTTTGTGTAGCTTACCTTGGTAACAAAACACCTGACAGGAGACCGTCCAGTCTGAGGAAAAGGGAGCTGTTGGAGGCTGAGTGATGCTTTGGGACATGCTCTGCTGGGGAGCCCTCGGTTCTGCTGACCATACAGATGTGACTGCAACTGGACCACCCACCAAAGCTTTGGTACACACCATGGACAGCCTCCCAAAAAAGGTTGGCTTGGCTTCTGAACTCTCCAGACTTCATTCCATCCATCCATCCATCCATCCATCCATCCATCCATCCATCCATCCATCCATCCATCTATTTTCCTCCACTTATCTGTGGTTAAGTCGGGGGGCAGCAGCTAAAGCAGGAGGCCCAGACTTCCCTCTGCCAGCTCTTCCAGTGGGTGCCCAAAACTTCCCAGCTCAGCTGAGAAACGGAGTCCCTCCAGCGTGTCTTGGTTCTTCTCCTGCTTCTTCCTGCGGTTTTTCTCCTGGTTCTTCTCCTGGTTCCAACCTAATATGCAGGTTTTTGGACGAAGCCGGAGAGAACCCACAGACACAGGGACAGCATACAGACTCCACCTGTGGGACTCGAACCCAGAACCTTCTTGCTGTGAGGCGATGGTGCTAACCACCACGCCACCGTGCTGCCCCCACCTCATTCCAGTCAAACCCTAACCGTCTTTTTGCAACTTCCAGGACTCAAAAGGCATGCCGTTAACATGTTGGTGTCAGAGAAACACCGGACTTTCTGCCGTCTACTGGAGTCCAGGAGGGGGTTGGGCTTTGGCTGGGATAGCTCTGCAGCAGCCACTAGCATGCAGCTACATTATAACGTACCAAACGAATATGAGCCAGCTGTTGCCACCATGCAGGCATTAGGGCAGATGTTTGTGTCTTGTAACAGTAATTCGCATTTAATCTTTTTTAAAAGTTACACAAACCCATGCTGGAGCAGTTTTTGTTCATTAAATTGTACGTTTCAGTTCGGTTTCAGTCCTTCTCTCCATCTCTTTCACCTTACTGCCGCTCATCCAGCCCCTCTTTCATTGCTTTTGTTCCAGAAGATGGATTGAATGGAGGTTTGATGTAATCCATAGTGCCCATTCTTAAGAGCACCAAGGGCCCATTTGTGACAATCAATAAATGACCCTACAAATATCATTTGACATGTCCTTCGTGTGGTCCAACCAGATTGAGTTCTCTCTCCCAGCAGCAGCATTTTTTCCATTAAATTCCCAACTGAGCTATATGAGCGAATAGGACAGACATTTAGATGTACGTATCGATTGATGCCGTCTGTGGGATGTCATATTTGAGGTTTATTAGTCTACCACTAAGATACAAATAGTCACTAAATATTTTTTGTTTGCTCAGCCTTTTTTCTGACCTCAACCCCCCCCATCCGTGTCGCCACCAACATTCAGTTTCACAATTATTTTGAGAGGATTTTGTTCCGCTGGCTTACGAGATGTAAAAGCATTGTAAAATGTAAAAACATTTGTTGATGTTGGGACTTTGTGGCTCTGTTCATGAGTCTCTCGTTGGTCTTTTGGTTTCATGACACCAGTATGTTGACCGATGGGATATTAAGGGAGGAAGTAAGACATCAACGTGCCACACACTGTGTCACATCCATAAAATACCTGATAGCTATGAAGCTACATGCAAAAGCTGGCTGATAAAGGAGTTTACATTTTTTCCACAAACTGACAAGATGATGATAAGATGCTTTGGTCAAAACAACTCAGACAAACTCCAAATGCAAGGCCTGTATCTAAGTGGATCGTTTTAGGGTGAAGTGTCCCTCTCAGTTCTGCTCTGACCTCTCCTTTTCCAGGGTCAGCCTCTTTTGAGATCTGCAGCACTCAGTAGCCCACAGAGCATGCTATTACAACATAAAACAGTATGTGGCCTGAGTTCAGGCACTTTCAGCTCTTCTGCAGACAGAAATGTGGAGCTGCTCGGCTGTTTTGGCTCGGTATTGTCCAAAGTCCTGTGCGGAGCCTCCAGGTTGATAGGACAGGCTTCACAAAATAAGAGTGATTAATTCTGAAAATTCAGATTTCTCTTTAAACGAAGGTAAAATTACAACAGAATCACCATGTCAACACAGGAATATAACATTGGGTTTTACACATATCTCTACTTTAAGAAAAGTTTATAATTATTATTGCATCTTGTAACTTTAATTGAATGGTCTAAGGTTTGATTCACAGGCAGAAGAGAATGGAGCAAATAAGGAATTGTAACAGCTTGTGTTCAGTTTTGTCTCTCTGTGTTTGACAGGCACCCCCCTGTTGGTGAGGAGCAGCAGTGACTCAGCTCTCGGTCCCCAAACCACTGAGACCCAACCCCCCTTCACCGAAGACAGCACAGGGATGGTAAGACCCCGAAAGGCTTATTTCAAAACCCTGTTGTTTTAAGTAACCCGAAACTTACAAACTCTAACCAAGTGAAGGGTATGTGGAATGTGATTGGTCGATCAACACCTTAAAGGGGCACACATAAAGTTCTTCAGGACTTGCTGATGTGCTGCATGTACATCGTGTTTGAAGAAAATTTAAGGTTTTAAACCCTGGTGTTTGGTTAACTAGCTGTGAAGCTTCTTTCCCTGCAGCACAGCTTTGTCGTACCTCTGTTCATTCCCTCTGAGGTTTGTTCAGGCTTGGAGGAAGTTGCTCCATCAAACCAAATCTACCTGTTTAGTGCAAACTCTACTTTACAGCACAGCTTTTACAGTCAGAAGTCAGTTTGCTGTTGTGAAGCTGCCAGTATCTGTAGTTTTCATCCCTTTATTGTGTAAAACAGTTCTTAAGAAAGTAGTAGTCTACAGATTTGAATGATAAAAACGGTCATTTTAACTGTCCTTTTGATTGGTAACTTTGTGTTTCCTGTGTCAGCTTTTGTGCATCCTCATGGGTTCATCAATCTCTGGGAGATAACAGCTCTCTTTGATGTATCACCGCGAACACAATGAGCTTTACTTTATTGCTGCTGTAATCTAATAGGTTGATTACCAATAAATATAATAAGCACATTAAGAGCCTCCTGAGGATAAACACTTTGATTTTGATGACCCTGTGGTTGTCTCCTCTTTCATCATCTGGAAGACAAACCAAGCCTTTGCACCACTCATCATAAAGCTCAGAGAGGAGTAAAGTATTGATTTCTGCTACTAATGGGGATGCCACTGCATTAACCCTTTAAGCCTGATCCCAGAAAAAAAAAATACAGATCATTTATTTTTTGTACTGTTTTCTTGTTTGTTTTGATTTATTTCGGCCTCTAACAAAAATCTGACTGCAAATAAACAGAAGTAGCTTTTAAATATTCATCATTTGTTACCGTGCGATGGGTTAACTGTAGATGTGATCGTTTCCCTCTGAACAAAGGCCCTAAATACCAACATTATGCATAAATTTGCCCTCAATAATAGTGTTTCCTTTTGGCCGCTTTAATGTGGACACAGGTCGGCATGTGCGTGGTGGGTAGATGTGATTAAAGGCTGCGGCTAAATGATGCCTTCAGGGTCTCGATGGGCTTTCTTATCCAGACACATTTTGTCACTTTAGGCTCCATTAACAGTGATGGATGACTCCCATGTGTCTCCCCCCTCTTTTCATACTTTCTCTGCTTTCCTCAAAGGGCAAAGGGCAAATAATGTCTTCTGTTTACATCATCTGCTCCTTCCTCTCCTCCCTCCTCACAACTGCTGATCTCATTTCGACATCTGTCCGTTTTTCAGCGTTTGAAGTCCCGGCTGTCCCCCCCGTGTGACAGTACGGTGTCCATACGTGTGCCTGACGGGAGCTGAACTAAGACAGGACACTCAATCCAGCTTCCATCAGCTCCCAGCTCCTGAGACTGAAACAGACAGATACAATTCTTGTGTTTTTGGCCTGATCTTAGAATTTTCTTCACCCTTAAATTTAGACTCAAGTGTATATTTACACTTTATCCTGTCCAACTCTTATCCTGTGAATGTCCTCCCAAAATATTTTTTTCCAAGCTGTAAAATGAGCGTTTCCTATGAATTTCTCCAAATATACACTGTGTCAGTAATAATAATGAGTTCCTCTTCAGTGTTGACATTTGCTGTTTAGAGCATTACATAAATAGAGTCAATCCTTTTCATAATACCAGTTTGGTAAAAGTGGTGGTGTTACTTTCCCATATTGGCCACACATTGGAGCCCACTGAAAATCCCTAATGCTCAGTGGTTACTCGAACTCCCGCCTTGATTGGACTCTAGAGTCGCGTCTGCTACCTTTGAGACTCTTTACCGGACAGCCGCCCCTTTTTCTGTTGTTCTAAATAATCCCCTTAGAGCAGCCCTGTTTGGAAAGTTCAGCTCTTTTGGGGATCGGTTCTCAGAGGTGGTCAGTGTTGCTACATACAAAGACCTGTTTGTGACAGAGCAACAGGCCCTCTGTAGCCATGCTCAGGAGGAAAGACAGCATATCCAAACCATAGAAAACAAAGGCCAATGGCACTTAATCATTTTCAGGCTTTACATGTTTGTGCAATGTCCAAACGGCTCTTTTTGGTGGTTTGGGAAACATTAAGGGTGAAGGTCTGTACCTGTAAGTGGACTGTTGAAGTCCAAAGTGCCACTGGAAAGCTGGAACATAAAAGTTGGAAAACGGTATGAAGATCCTGTGTCCTGCTTGGTTCAGATTGGGACCAGCTTCATTGGTGGGGTCTTGCCATCTCTCACCAACCCACAGCTATTTAACTACAGTATCTGAACTCATTACAGCATCGGCATAGAATTTCTTTCTTCCTGTTTTTCCTTCCTCCAGCGTTTTGGTTCCTCGCTGAGCTCAGGATCCACTCTTCTTCCCGGTCTTAAAGCTGCTGAACTGCAGTAACTGCCACATAAGTGGTGGACTGATAAACTACAAAATGACTCAGTGGAGGACATCTACAGTAAATAAAGAGCATTTTCTTTCAGCTTTTCCCTCCATGTCTCTGTCTTCTGCGCCTGCTTCTGCCTGGTTCAGCTGTCTCCTCTCAGCCAGGTGCAGACGGCGTAATGGCCCCAGAGGAATTGAACAAATTGTCACCTGGCACTTTTGGTCAAGAGGAAAAGAGCACCTAGCCTTCTACTCTGTTCCTCTTTGTACTTAATTTAAACTCTGAAAGATTTACTGGCCCCAGCAAAGGTCCTGCTTTTTAGATGCCAGACAAAAATCCAGAAGAAGAGAGCAAAAATCACCTCTCTTTTTGTCATGTGCCATTAAACATGCACGCAGATACAGATATGAACCCACAGGGCTGCAGAGAATGTTCTTATTCAAACCTGAGTCTGGCTCTGGACTGATAATGCACCGGAGCCACCGTTTGTCACGTCAGCTCCTGGTTTGTGTGCAGGTGTGTGTTCCATGGGCTTGTTGTTTGTATTCATGTTTACCACCATGAATGCATGTCAGGAAAATTCTGTAATGGGCCTGAACATGTTTGTCTGAATGACTTTTCTTAGACTGAACTGATCCTGGTACCTCTTTCACAGTGAATAAATAGCAGATTCAAACCCTCAACCCTTTTCCCTACCCCTGCCATCTGAGCTTGAAAGAATATTTTTGGGGCTGAACATGGAAGGAAATGCCTTTGTAGAGTCGTCGTTTTGTTTGTCTCTCCTACCAGGACAAACCTTGGTGTGTTTGGAAATAAAACGCTCCTCAGATATGACAAAAACTCAGCAGTTATTAAAATAATGTGGTCCTACACTGATAAACTCTCAGTTACATGGAACGTTTACCCTCTTCTTTAAATCTGAAAACGGTTTACATTTCATTCAGATTTGTAATCTCTGTCCATTTGGTACTTCTAGCTTTAAAACACAGTCATTTTTATGTGACACGCACATAAAAATGTCATTTCCCTTTCTTATAGATGCGTATGCTTGAATACACCAACACAAAATGCCCAGCATGCATTTCTGTTAATTTATCATGCTCACTGGGAGCATTTTCATGGAACACTTAGACTGATTGGTCATTCAATAATTAGTAATATCACTAATTGTATGCTCTTTTATCCACTTTTGGCAATTATTAAATTGAACCTAGAGGAAAAATGCTTGCAGGCCATTTATTACAGGCGTAGTAACTCTTGGTTAGATTATTCCTCACAATGTCAAAAGGGAAGTCCTACCTTTCTATCCTCCAGATTTTGGAGGGCCACTAATGCTCACAAGTATTGATTAAACTGTCCTGGGTTGATAGATTAATGTATTAATTTCGGCCTTGCAATAGCCCCCAGCATTACCATTTGATCACAGTCTCTTAAGAAATACATTTTTGTTTTCTGAAATCATCAGGTCTTTCAGCCACTTCCTCTAATAAGCTTTTTGTGCTTAATGGTGGTTATTATTATAATGATCTGTCTTTATTTTAATGATCTGTCATCTGTTGATTTATCAGTATTTTCCAGTGCTTATTCAAAAATATTGCTTTTTATTTTTCAAATTGGATTGGACTGAAAAAACCGGGTATGAAAGATGCAGGGGGACTCTGGACATTTCCTTTTCCAAACTTCAACGATTTGAACGTGAGAAACTTTCAGAAACATTCACGAAAGCTGGCGAACATTAAGATGACTAATGAGGCACATTTAGTTGTTCAGATTAATTTATTTATTATAAATTACCCCTCAATAATTAACTTGCGTTCTCGTCCTTTGTAATTAATATTTTGTTCTCCCAAATAGAGAGAACAGGGGAGAGAGGCTTTTTCTGCCTGCATTTATTAAATGAGACATACAATTAAGCACCAATGGCTTTGCAATTAATGTATGAGTGACTGTCATGTCAGCGGGGTTAAAATAATTCATGTTTCTTGTCATCCTCTTACTAATTAAGCTCAGATGACTGCCAGGACAGACTAATTGATTTTACAGCCACCAAAGCCCAAACACATGTTGGTGTATTGGCGGTGTGTCGTTTACTGTTATGTGGTCCTCCTCCTTCTATTCTATCTCAGATCTGAACTTTGTTTTCGGGTCGACCTCACATCTTGTTTTCCTTGTCTGGCATCTTGTGTTGGGTCTCCAGTTTCTCTCTCTCTCCGTACCCCTATCGCTCATCAGCACTGGGAGTGGGTCATATGGCCGTGGGGGGGCGGGGAGGCTGCAGAGGTGAAAGGTCACGGTAGGAAATCATTAGCGCCAGTTGCTAACGCAGAGCCTTATTGACCTGCATGCATTTCTCCATATGTTTACACAAATGGGAGCTGTGTGATGTGTCCATATGTTCTATTTGCATATTTACGCATACTAAGATTTACACTGGGTTAGATTTAGAGATATTCTAAGTTTACAGTGATAAAGGTAGGGCTTCAGAGGGGCCGGTGCACAGTGGTTTAAGGTTAGAGTTTTTGGGAACTGCTGACATAAATGTTTCATAAAACTCAGAATTGGCATTGTTTAAAATTCTCTCTGGAAAAAATACAAAAAATAATAACTAAATCTTTCTCTGACACGCTGTCAGGGAGACGGATATTTCAGATCCAGAGATCAGGAGGAAAGCAGCAGCTGTGGAGGTGCCAGAAGGACCTGTGTCTGTATTTCCTACTTAGATAAATATGTCTCTTCTGCTGAATACAGAAACTACCCAGTATCATAGCATCCTTTAGAGAGGGGGGGTCTGTTGGGTCAGGCTGTAGAAATAGTGCTCACTCTAACACACTTTGCTTTCATTTGACTGTTTTAAAGATTCCATCTCTCACATGCATTTCACCGTCTTAGACCTTTCCTGTTTCCATGCACACTGATGAGGATTTTGTATCATTGCTTGACAACACTGTTGTCAAGAATTAGATATTAATTGTTGCTGAATATATCATTCATATTAAGACTTAACATGCTCGTGTATTCTCCTGCTTTGTCTTTCAGAGTCCAAAACACTCTTTAAATGTGGCGCCTTAAAGCTACAGTCTGAGCTCTGGAGCTTCTTTAATTCTTTTCTTTTGCAGTGCATCGTTGTTTATTCACATTTGTTAATGAATACAGATGGTTCCCAGTATCCACATGGTGTTTTTCTTTATCTAAATTCAGCCCCTCATGAAGCGCGGCACTCTCCAAATGTCAGTCAGCGACAGCCTAACGGGGCAGCTGTTCTCTGTGTGTTCTCTGCAGGCCGTGAGTCCGGCTGGGGAGAGGCCTGCAGCGGGGGACTGCGCCCACACCAGACCCCCCCCCACCACCGGGTCAGTGGCTTCGTCTGTGCTCCGTGTGTTGATGGGACTCGGCTGCACTGCTTATCGCTTTTCATTCACTTTCACAACATTCTGCTCTGATGAACTGCGGAGGTGTTAGAGACCCTCTTGGTGTCAATTACCAAAAAATCATAAAAGTAGTAAAGTTAGTGATAACATCATCAAAAGTACCGTCCTTCTTTTAGCCTCATGGTGAGTTTAAAACAAAGGCATCATAGGGATAAACAGCTATTTAGGTTGACAGAAATATTCTGTATAATATGACAGAGTCCTCTTCTGTCTTTGGTGTCAGAGGTCACTAGCACTGACACTCCAGTGGTGGAAAGCTTTTACTGTTTCTCTTCATTGTCCATCACTCCCTGCTGACCAGGTGGACGTCTCTCTGCCAAAGAGTGGTCTGCAGGTTGTGGTACCTCCTGTTAGTGGCTGGTGAGGATCCAGGCTGCTCTCGGTGTGAGTGGCCAGAGGAAAGGCTCTGACAGTCACAGAGCATTGCATCATTTAGGGTTAGGCTTAGGGTTTTGGGGGGGGGGGGGTTACTGGTCCCATTGCCACATTTGGAGGTCTGGCAATACTGCAAAAGCTCTAAGATATGCATGTGTCCTTTAATTCTACTCATGTAGGTAAACGTGGACACTCATGGACACAAGCAAAGTATTCGCTTCTTTTAAAAGTAATAGTCAGATGTAGGAGGGATAAGTGCTGCTTCACAGCCTTTAAATGATCCTCATAATAATCCTTTAGGGGAATATCATTCCCTAAAAGCCACCTGCTTCTCTAACCTCGTAAAACAATGAACAATAGGCACATTAGGAGTACATGTGTAGTGGGAATCTTGTTTGAACACAAGTCTGTATGTATTTTTCCCTCTACACCGGCTAAATGTGAAGAAAGGCTGAGGGTTAATGCTAGTTAAGATAAGCTGTGTTTGCCTACATTTGCGTTTGTTTGCTCGTTCTGTGCGTGTATCTGTCCCACTTTCTCTTCATTAAAGCTGTATTTTAATCCAGATCAAGGCCATCACAGATATAGTTAGTGTAAAAGAAAAAAAAAAAGTTCCATCATTAGCTCACTACAAAAGACTGCCAAAACAGGGTCAGGGTCACACACACACACACACACACACACACACACACACAGACACACACACACACACACGCACAAATAAACAGATACACAGACACTTGCATCTGCTATTTTTACAGAAACCGCAGAGCACAGAACACACACACACACACACACACACACACACACACACACACACCTCCACTAATGAGTGCTGCTTAATTAGCGCTGGGGTGCAGGAAGCCCCATGTCTCCTATCAGCCTTTTTTTGTCTGTGTCCATGTGTTTGTTTTGGCACTGTGGGACAGGCTCCTGTGTTCAAACACTCGGGCAGAATCCACTGATAACGTAGACAATAAAACTACAACATACCGCTGTGAATTTGTGTAAAAGGGACCGGGGGAACCTTTAATGTTTGCATCTGCTCCATCAATTGAGGGAAGATTAAAGTTTCCCCTTCAGCAGCCAAATATCTTTTTTTTTTCCAGGTACGCAGCCTTTATCCCTGAGTTATTTAGACGGATGCTAATTTAATCAGGAATAAAATAATGAGCTGAGACTGAACCTGCAAATTAAAGTTAAAATCCTAAGTACATAAAAACCTTTAAAATATAGGAAGTGCAGCAGCAGGCGTCTGCTCGCCATTAAGTGGTTTGTCATGCTACCTTGTATTGTCTTCTTTTTATGCAAATTGCATTTATTTTATAGTAACAATGCTTACTGCGCTGAAGTGTTGGTGTGCAAACAAACTCTGGCTGTCAAATGGAAAATGAAGCTTCTGTATAGGGTCCTGTGCTATCAGAGCACTTTTATTAATTGGTTGTTAGGGTTGAGGGGTGGATGTTTAGGCCAGGGAAGAAACACGGCTGGAGGACATGGAGCCAGACAGCAACTTCAAACATGCAGCCGCAGCTGAGGTGGAGGCATATTCATGTAGTAGCAGATCAGAGCCTCCTGTTGCACACACCAGAAAATGAGTAGGACTTTATGGAGCGGCCCTTAACTCGGTCAGGTCCTACTCAGAAGGCTGGAGTTGTGAATCTGAGTCGGGCTGTGTCTGGTGGAGTCCCCCAGATATAACAGAACTGTATTATCAATAATCGAAGTTATGCAGACTCTGTGTGTCTGTCACCGGATGGCTGCAGCCCAGCAGACCTACTGTGTCAGCGTCTGGAGGAAATAAACACTTGGATGAGAGAGAACTTTCTACAATTAGAGACTAACAGACGACAGAATTCAAAGTTTCCTCTACCCCAAAAGACAGAAACTCATCCATGTGGCTCATCCAGAACTCTGCCAATAGAGTTTTAACCAGAACTAAGAGATCTGAACATGTCGGGTCAGTTTTAAAGTCTTTACGAGGGCTTCCAGTCAGTCACAGAAGAGGTTTTGGTCCCTGCTGATGGTTTACCAATCCTAGAAGAGTTTAGGCCCTCAATATATCTGATATGATCAAAGATTTTAAACCTTTCAGAGCTCTTAGATCCAGCGGATGTCTGCACTCAACTGCTTTTTTCTAATCATTTCCATTTGTTTGATTCATTTTCTATATTTTTATGATTTTGTTTGAGTTATTTTTTATATTTTTTATTATTTTGTTTTGTTTTTTCTTAATGCTTCTTCCTACTTCTTCCGCTGCCCGCTGTAATGCTTTCACGTACAGCACTTTGAATTGTTTTGTACATCATGTGCTGTACACAAAGATGGACAAACAGGGTATTGACTCAATGAATGGAAACTCACAACATTGTCCTAATTTTTGCTTGTAAAAATGCCCTGTATTGTTAGCTGGAATGCGATCAAATTTGAAAACTCTAAGGGGCATAAAAACTTCTTAAAGGCACTCAATGTACATTCAAATACCCAATGTAGTCACGGCATTTTGATATCCCTCCACTAATTGTATTTATCCTAAAAGCCTAACAGAGACAGACAAAAGCAGCAGTTGAGTTTTTAATATCACAATTGACCAAAGTGCCCGTTTAACTAAACTATGTTGTCACTATCACAAAACTAAGATGGTAAATGAGGAAATGGTAATGTAGAGTTTGTGGCTGTTGGATCCGTAATCAGTGTGTTTTCAGTCTGACTCCAGCGGCCTCATTAATGGAGAGTTGATTACTGTATTTTAAGATCATCAGTAAGGAGCGGCAGACATTTCATTGATCGGAAAAATGTATGATATGCATGTAGTCGGCCTTCATTTTGTGGCGAGAGAGTTTGGAGCAGCTCTTTTTTTCTGCTCCTGTTTGTTGCTGCAGTATAAAATGATTTTACTGTATTATACAATTCTGACAGCCAAGTTAATGGCTAAGCAAACGAACAGAATACATTTCGGTTTCATTACCTGTGATGGAACTATTTGGTGAGACGCAGCTCCTATAAAGACTAATATAGCTACAGCATTTATGCCATCGTATCCATAACTTTCTCTCATGTTCGCATATGAACCATCTCAGCTGTGAGTAATGTAAGAGTGATGTAATGGTTTTTGTGGTTGTCGGGGAAACGATCCTTGAAATTGCAAAAAAGTCCGAAATGAGTGGAGGAACGCGGCCATAAATAGTGGAACAGCAAAGCATTCGTTAAGCAAGCGTGTGCGGCCGTAGATCAGTCTGATTGCTGTGTGTAATTTCACACACACACACGCACATCTGGAGCCCCCCTCGGAGTGTGTGGTGGAGCCCTCCTTTGCCTTTAAATGTGAACCCTATATGTCTAAGCACACAGCGTGAGCAGCAGAAAACTCATTCCGCTTGAATCAAAATATGCTTTTCCTTATATCAAGAAATAGATTTACTCCGAATGAGTTTATTGAAATAGTTTTTCCAGGATATGACATTCCTTTGTGAATGTTTTAGAGGCCTGGTGGTGTTTCTGTGCTTGACTGCACGTTTGTTTGATGTTGTTTTGTGCCTTAAGATTCCATTTCTAAGCGGACGGGTGAATTAAAGCGATGGGATGGTGAATCTGATCTTTTTGTTAGTGCCTCTCTGCATTTGTTTCCCCGACAGCTCCCATTTCTCCCCGTTTCCTGCCCTTCTTCTCCAAATAAAATGATTGCATTTGATTGCAAAGATCGTATTTATTTACGCGCCCGTTTGTCAAAGAACTCGTGTTTAGATTGTTCTATTAAAGCTTGTGTGTTTTCATTAATTAACCCTAAGACGTTCACATTATCTATACTTCTTTCCTCTCCAGTTCATTGTCTAGCGAGCCGTAGAAGAAAGGAAACGGTTGATAAATAGGAAGAGGGATGAGAGGGTGAGGTGCATTGAGATGAAGAGTGGTTTGGTAATGCATCTCCTCCTTTTTCTTCCTCCTCTGAGCTGGTGTCTGTCTGTCATGGTGGGGCTCAGTAAAGTGGCAGCTGGATAAAGAGAACACCTGCGCTCTTCATCTCTCTTTGCTCCTCTCTGTCTCACTCTTGTTCTTTTGTGCATTTGGCTCTTTTTGCTCTCTCTCTTATTCACTCATTGCGCTCCGTCTCTTTTCTCCAGTCTCACTCATTTTGTCTCTGAATCCGCTTCGTTCTTTTTTTTTTTTTTTTTCCGGCTTTGATGCAGTCTTTCAAACATCTCACAGAAAAAAAATGAAAAGGAAATGCAAATGGATCTCAATTGGTTGTGTGAGTTTGTGTGTGTGTGAGTGTGTGTTGTAGGTGGAGATCAGAGGCTCGGCAGCAGGAATAGAGAGAGAAATAGAGAAATAAAGAGAGGGGTGCATGTTATTTCCCTGCTTATATTAATTCTATTCATTAGCCTTGTCTAATTAATTCAGTGTCTCCTCCTTCCCTCATTTTACAGCTTTACTTCTAAACCTTTATTGCTATCCACTTTTTTCCCTTCATCCTTGTCTCTCTGCTCATGTCCGTCTCAGATCTCAGACCTTGTCATGAACATGTCAGTGTCAGTTTTTGGCTTTACAGTAACTGAAACATCTTAAGCAGCTGGAAGTGTAAAATGTGATTCAGCTGCCAATCGGCCTCGAGCAGGGACGGAGGCCTTTCCTTTCCTCCCCGCAGCCGGTTAAAAAAAACTGTTTTTCTTTTACGCCCGCTGAGAAAATGATCGGAACGTGGTGGAGTTGAAAGTCTATTTGTTCTATGTGAAGGGAAAATGCAATGACGTATGAGAGATGATTAAAAACACAGGAAAGAAACGAATACCGTCACAGGATTGCTAAGTCAGAATGATTTGGTATTCCAATGTGAGTGTTTACTGCACAGCGTTGTCCAGAAAGACGTCAGAACTCAGTAGGCATGTCCACCCGGTTATAGGTGTGTATTCTTACTGGACACAGAGCTCGTTCCAAAGAAGCCTGATGCCTTTTAGGGGGCGTGAGGACCACTGACCGCCTCAGGAAGAATGGTATCTGTCCGGGCACAGGCTGAGGTGATGAGGGCTAATATGATGTAGTATTACACATGATGTCAGAGCTGGTGGCGAATCCTCAGGAGGATGTACCTTTTCAAAAATATTCCTCACAGTATAAGCGGTCGGGTTAATATTCAGTTACAGTATCTGCATATAGGTGACCTGATGCAGAGTGTTTCATTTAGTCAGTTTGTCTGATTGGATATACAGTATCTAACATTTCTAGAATATGAATGCAAAAAAAAGGATGATTCTTGCTTTTGGATCAAAAAGAAAAAAACTAAACATATATAGTTAGCATCAATTCTGAAGAATTTGAAAACAATGTTGATGTTTTAAGACTAAAAGTCTTAATTGATTTGTTGACAGCCTTCATGAGCTTTGTCCCATCCGGTAGTTTGATATCTGTTTATTTTTATTACGATGGCAGTAATGTAAGGACCATTTTTACTGGGAGAAGCTCACTTCAGCAAAATTATATCAAATAAGATTTATTTGGTTTCGTCCTTGTGGCCGATCATTTTCAGAGGAAGGTGTTTTTTCTTTAAGCCACCTAACTCTCACTCATACATTTTTATAATTTGTTATTTTTTTAAATAGTATTGTGTACAAACCAAGGACAGCAGCAAACGTGGCGTATACCTGCATGCTGTGCATCCTTAAACAGGTTTAGAACAAAAGAAATACATTAGTAATGACAATAAACAGCAAAAATGCGTTCTGGGTTCCAGGTTGTGGGATTTGTTTGGGTTTTGCTGAGTAGTGATGCGGCAGCATCAACTTTGTGTTTGCTTGTGTGGCAGTTTCTCCCACAGACAAAGGAAGAACTGCTTTTTGCACTTTGCATCTCTCCCTAGTGCCCCCGCTCATCACCAGTAAGCACTCTGGAGTTTATCAGCATCTTTAGCGCTATCTGCTGATGGGGATTTAGGGATGGACGGATGGTCCAGAGAGAGGCAGACACACGCCAAACAAAAGAGCACAAAACACAGTTCACACAAACTCGCTCAGAAAGACACACACAAGGTCATGAGAGGATTAATGGCTGTGCTCTGACAGATAAACTAATCAAATAAAGACTTCAGCATGCACGATCATTAAAACACAGGCAGAATGGAAAGCGGATGCACGCTCCAATAATCCCAACTGTACAGAGACTTTGAACGATTGAAAGTAAAGAAGAAACCTCACAGAAAGAGAAGGAGCAAAAAAGTTCTCCACACACAAACACACACGCACACACACTCGTTGCCCTCTCTGAGCTCCGTGTTCACAGGCATGGATTGAGTCGCTGACAGCAGAGTTGTTGGCACGGTGAAAAACATCTGTGGAAAACATCTGCACACATCAGCACGGGACAGAAATCCAGACTCCAGATGATGTATAGAAACCTGAGCATTCCTGTACTCCTATTTGTGTTAATGAGCCACCACATTTTACACCTGTCTGATCGTTGGTCTTTCCCTTACCTTCACCATCTCCTGTCCACATCCTCTTTTCCCCTTTTTGAATACTTAGGTATGAATTGTTCTGGTGTTTTAAAAGTTGCAGTTGGCTTTTTTTTTACCAGCATGCCTTAGTGTGTATAGAACATGTTACCGAATAAATTCTCTCCTCTTCCTCATCCACCCTCATCATTGCTCTGTGTGTGTGTGTGTGTGTGTGTGTGTGTGTGTGTGTGTAGCCTGACCAGAACGGTGGAGATCCTGGGCGAGGACAGTCCTCTGGGGATCCACGTGGTTCCCTACTGCTCGTCGCTCAGTGGACGGTGAGTATAGGGAGCCGCTCGCACACAGGAACACACAGACACGGAGACACGGTGTCAAAGAAATACAAGGCAAGCAGGGTTTCTTTTTGGTATGTGGGGGAAGGACCTCAGAAGGAAGAGCAGGAGGATGTTTAAGGACGACTCTTTAAACTCTAGACCCAGCTTTTCTCCTCATATTCTTCTTTTTTGTACTTCTGCCGTCATTTTTTAGTTTCGGAAAATGGTTTAAGACCGTGTGTACGTAGTCACATGACATAGTTAGTGGGTCCCGTTGTTTGTCCTCACAGAGCTCCGGTCATCTGGCCTTGAACCCACTCCTCATGCGAAAATCCTGCAGTTAGTTAGAGATAAAATACTGTCCTCGTACGGTCTCATATGTGAGGATAATCTGGATGGCTATTATTCTCAGTCTGTTCGTTTACCTGCTCACCTGACGGCGGCTTTATTTGTAGGAATAACTGAATAATCTTTCATTTGGAGAAACCAAAAACACAGATGAGTTGCATGATGTCTGTTGCTGCTCACATTTTGTAGATAGGCCTGATTCAGAAAGATTATTGCTCGTCTTCGGCTAAAGAAAATGAAAAAGAGCGACAATCCTGAGGAGGTGAACGCGACACGCAGCACTCTGAATGATAAGGATGCAATTAAGGTTTTAAACATGGGACATGAGGAAGGGGACCAGACCATCCTGGGTACAGAGAGCAGTACAGAAAATGGATGGATGAATATCAAACATCGTGAGAGGAACTTAATGTGACGGTGTGTCGTGCTCTGGAATATATATGTGTAACTTTTCTACACAACATAATAGCAATCGTCTCACTTGGATTGAGGTCAGTGGAGGGCCACTCTACTGTCACTGGCACTTTGAAAATAGTGCTTTTATATGCTCCTCATCACAGCTTTATCTCTTAGCTCACCTATAAATCTTAATGGGTTTTTATTTGTGATGATGTTTTCTCATCTACTAATGTGTGACAATCTTAAAAGTAAGGTACATTTCTGTCCTAACTGTTACCCAGTAAACCACATTCATCATTTCTTTGCTGGTGTTTTTGCTTGTCTAGATCTTAGTGATGGACCCATTCTGTGCATACAGTGTTTTACAGACGTCTGCCGTCTCCCTCTCTCCCGTCAGGTCTCTTGGATTGTATATCCGTGGAGTGGAGGAGGAGAGTCGTTCAAAAAAGGAGGGTTTGTTTCAAGAGGATGAGTGCATCGTAAAGATCAACAACACTGACCTCATGGACAAAACATTTAACCAGTGAGTGTATTTCAGTTTATCTGCATTGGAAAAAGGAAAAAATGGGGCACAAAGATATCAAAGAGATCCTTACTGTTAGCTATTCTTATAGCATGAATACAGTGTGCTGAAGTTCATTTACGGGAGTATTAAAGTGGGAATATGTGCAGTCAAGAGAGTGAAAGACATTTTGAAGTATAAAACTAGATTTTCAGTACATTTATGTCAATCTTATAAAGCGAGGAGCAACACAACTGATTAAAATCTCTTTTAGGAGAGTTTAATGTCCATGACAGCAGCTTCTATAGCAGAACATAGAATACAACATGAACTTTTTCCCACTGTTACATTCATAGAGTATGTTCACTTTGCATAAGGAAAAGAAAGTACAAAGACAATAAACGCATTCCTCAAAATGAAAACCAGAGAAAAAGGTCAAAGCAGACAGTTCTCTTAATACAGCTCATCTCAAACAGCTGCTGAGAATCGGTACCTTTGTCATAATCCTCCATTGAAGACTGCGTGTTGAGAAGATGTATGCATGTATATTCCCCCTCCATAGCTCATCAGATACAGCAAAACGATAGGAGACAAGATTTAAAGGTTGAGAAAACATTTTATTGGCACTTTTTTATGGCAGTAAATTAGAAAGTCTGTCACTCGAGCGTCTTTGTCTCAGTAAAGTTTTCTCAGTGTACCACTAAAACATCTGAAACCCACCACATTAAAGAGGAAGTGTGACTTCCAACCTGATTAAGCTGTTATAGATTCAGCTGCTGATTCGTGTTAGGATCCTTCCAACGTGTCACAGTGAACCGTTACACAGCTCTTTTCCAGTAATCAGCGTATTAATACGCTTAGATGAGAGGAGCTTTGGGCTGTAGTGTAAGGAAATGGATTTCAGTCATGGAAAGCAGTAAAACAAACAAGTGTAAAACCTTGCCTGGTATCTGAGCGGTGTGTTTAGGCTCATACACTCACAAACACGCGTTGTGTGGGTTAGTGGCTCCGAATGCGTGATATGTGGCTTCAAATCTGAGTAGGGAAGTAAAAGCTTCCTCACACACTGCCAGCAGCTGGGGTTAGGAAGCCTACTGGACCAGAACATGCTTCGACTGCTTCCTGTTCGACGAAACAAAAGCGAAGTCATGTATCACAACGCCCGGCGTTCTGCTCCATACATGAAATCCCCTCCAGTGTCCATGTTTGGACAAGTGTGACCGCCCGGTGTTCTCTCTGCACACACTGTGTCCCGTCCACACAGCTCCATCCACAGATGCTGTCCCAGAATTCACCCTTACAGTAAAACCAGTAGGAGCAGGAGTGGAGTGTCTGTTCACATTAGTTTGCATAATGATGCTTTCTTTAAAACTGGAGGGTGAAATGACTCTTTACACTAACACAGACGTCTGTCCCGATGAAACTTGTCTGGTTCCTCGTCAAATATATTAAAGGATGCTTAATCCAGATGTATTCTGTTAGAATGAAGACAGATTTCATGTGAGACTTTGTAAATGGGGTCTCTAGTTATGCATTAACATAATCTAACTGTGAAACAATAGTGTAACCAAATAGAATTTAGATAATCTGGACTCTGGTTCTCATTCATCCTGACAAAAAGGTCCCTGTGTTACAGGAATCTGGGGAATCTGGGTCATTTTCTGCAAGGGGACCTTTTTTATAGATCATGAGATCATCGGTGCTTTTTGTATAGGTGTCCCAGCTCTTTAAACTCTGATGATCAAATGGTAACAGTTAAAAAAAACAAATATGTGCAGATTGGATTTTTGCTTTTGCACAGCATAAGTAGAGTTTGTAATTAAACCAAATCTGTTTATGCCTCATGTAGTTCCCACCATTTACAGAAAACACAACCTTCTCCAGTAACATTTTCCCTCTACTTGTTTGTCCTTCTGTGTTTCCATTTCCCCGTCCACCACCACCTCCTCTGTCCAGAGCTCAGGACCTGTTTCGATCGGCCCTGCACTCCCAGCTTGTCTGTCTGGAAGTGGTGCCCTCCTCCAACAGAGACCGATACGAGAAGAGTCTGATCGGCCAGCTGTTCGGAAGCAGCTCTGGCCCCAACAGCAGCCCCCAAACCTCCAAAGCCAAAGAGCCCCCTCCACCTGTCAAAGCCAAACCAGTGTTTAAGCCCCCGGCCAGCGCGAGCACACAACCAGCAGAGGAACCAGCTTCTGAGGACGGTGTCTCTGTAAGTAGCTGTCAGCGTTTCTATTTTCATCTGGACTCTGTGAGCATTTGAAATCTCATACGCTGCATAGAAAAGATGACATCAGTTTAGGGTCAAAGGCTCCAGAATGTAAAAGGGACATGAGAACAGACTGAGAAAAGAAGTGTTGCATTTGTTTCAGAATTCAGCAATAAGACTTAACAGAGAAGGGGTTCATTAAGGACCATTTCAGGTATTAACAGGCAGCAGGTGGACATTTGAACCTTTTACTTTTTATGACTCTGAGCTGAGTGGAAATTGATGAGTCTCACATTATTTTTACTCTCAGTTCACCTGATCCCAGAAATACCACGTCTTTAAAAACCCAGGCACATGTAAGTGTGTTGTTACCATGGTTACACCATGGCTGCATCGCTAACATTTGAAAAACAGCTGGCAGAGATGGAACAGTTCCTTAGCAACAGCTGATCATTTTTATTCAGAAGAAGTTGTTTCACTAAACTCAGATGTGAATGTTTCCTCTGGTTCCTGCATCATTTCTGCTGTAAGAACAGGATACAGCTCATTTTCCCAAAAACGCTTCATCAAAAGAAACTTTTTAATAAACATATGCAACAGAACCAGCATTTTGACACCAGTTAGATTCCACATGGAGTAATTATTATTTAAGAAGGAGGCTGGTGAAGGACCTTGTTTTTGCACAATTATTTAATCGGTTGTGTTGGTAATGCTGAATGAAAAGGAGCAAGTTTAGACACAGCAACTCAGGCAGAGGTTGTGCTTATACAAGTATATGCAGCATTTAGCAAACATATATATATATATATATGTGAGCGTGTGTCAGATAAAGATAAGGGTGTTTTGTTTGATGTCCCTAAAAGCAGCAAACCTTTGTGTTGACAAAGACTTGGAGCCCTGCAGATATTTCTCCCACAGCTTCCTGAGGCCTGGGCTGTAATGGTTCTCACATAACAGGTGCTGTGTTGGAAGTTAATTAGCTGAACTTTGTGTTCTTAATGGAAAGCTATTAAAGCCGGGAGGAGAATAATGGAGTGCAGCTGCAGATGAACTGTGCCCCACAATTATCGAACCCTAACTAAACTGAAATCTCTCAGAATGAGTTGGACCACGGAAGGAGAGAAAACCATGAAAACCTGCTTCGGATGGTGGGAACGGATGTAGAATTAAGATAAAAATGTGTTTTTTTGCCTAGTTACGACATCATTCCCTATTTTCTATCTCACCAGTTGGTTGACAGGATGTCTCCAGTTTTGAAGAAATTAAAATGTTTTGCAAATCTCCAGGTGGTCACATGTCTAACTCTGCCTTTGAAAGGAAGTGCTTCTTTTAGCATCTCAACTTGATACACGTTTTCAGTCCATTTAGGTTGTTAGAAAGTTCTGAAATCTGCACGTTTTCCTTTTAGAGCCCAAAAGGGAGGAGTGAAAGCCCCCACCTCAGGAAAAGCCCTGCCCTCTCCAATCTGGTGTCCAATAAGAAAGGAAGGAGACTGAGAATCGACTTAAAGAAAGGTGGGGAGCGCTCAGACACCATGGTCTGCAGATGTTTTGATTTGAATCTTTTACCTCAAAACACACTTCTTTACATTTAGCCTCGTTCAGAATTTCTGTATTCTCTATCTTACAGGTTATTGACAGCTCAGCAATTTGCACCTGTTGTGTGTTAATTTTAAACTTGGATAATCATAATGATCAGAATCATATACATATATCATATAAAATCATATATAATCATATACCATGCCCACTCACTCCACTTTTCTACTCCACTTTATCAGCAATTCATTATTTGATTTCAGAATTGGTTGCTGATCTATTAAATCTTCATCTATAAGCCATTGTTCCTTCTGGTTACAGTTCATAAATTTACCTTGACACAAATTTCCGTCCGTGCTTCGTCTCTGTGTTTATTTTTGTGAGTTTTAATTTAAAGTGAGTTTATATTATTCCTGTTTAAATTTTTTCTTTTATGCAGTTCAGCAACCTCATTATGCAAATGTACATTTGCATAATAAAGCACATTCTTAAAATACATTTTATACACCACTCATTGGATAATCATATATTTTTTTACTTTAGCCGCACATATTACCATATATATGCATTTATTTAGCGATTGCTTGTTTAATTTTAAATGTGGTGGTGTCAGACTAATTGGCTTGCAAATTCTTACTTCTTCATTTAAAACATCTTTTCTTTGTTCTCGACCGAGTCCCCTTCCTCTCACCCTTCCCCTCTCCATCTCCTTTATTCCCTTTCTTCAGGGTCTATTAAGTCTTTATTGATCTCTTCATTTCTGCTGATATGAATTCATACTGGACCAAAGTGCTGACTTGGCTGTGCTAAAGAGACCGGGCTTAATGAGCTCTGTAAAACACACAAGTGCTCCCTCTGTCTGTGTGTGATCTTTTTGTGCTCACACACACGCCCATGAATACCTAAATGCATGTTTACATGTGAGTGAGTAAATATGAGTTTTTTTCCTTAGGAACATTCTTTCCGCACTCTTTCCTCCCAGTTCTGTTATGCTTCCCGGCCCGTACCTGAGCCCGTTTTTTAAAGCTCTACATCTGCTGATAGTGCCAATATAGCTACAGCTAAGAGGGTTAAAGTGACACACACACACAGTTCCCTGTTCCTGAAAACACATGCAGCAGTCAAGAGCTGAGTCAACAAGAGCTTAGAAGCTCTTAGGACGAGTTTACAGTGTGTACTGTACGAGTGGGAGGATGGATTCACATTTTTACTCTCAAATCCTGTGGAAAATAAACAGTCCCAGCTAAAGCAGCCACCGTTATTGTGTTTGTGCGCCCAGGCTCAGAAGGCCTCGGCTTCACCGTAGTAACCAGGGATTCGTCAGTGCACGGCCCAGGTCCCATCCTGGTGAAGAACATCCTCCCCCGGGGGGCTGCAGTCAGAGACGGACGCCTTCAGTCTGGAGACCGCATCCTGGAGGTACAGGACTCTGACCTAAAGATGGAAAAAGCACAAATGAACTCCATTATGAAGCTGTTTGGAATTGTGTGTGTGTGTGTGTGTGTGTGTGTGCGCGCTCAGGTCAACGGCATGGACATCGCTGGTGTGTGCCAGGAGGAGCTGGTGTGTATGCTCCGCGGCACCCGTCAGGGGGACAGCGTGTCTCTGGTGGTCTTGCGGCAGGAAGACATGTTCCTGCCCAGAGAGATGGTAAGAACCAATCCCAGGTTTTCTGCTTCCACGGGGGGGCTGTTGATGAGGCGCAGGAGTTTGGTTTCCTCTTCGTTCCCATTGGTCTAACCAGTTTCAACCCTATTCGAATTCATGCCGTTTCTGGTTACCCGGCTGACCTGCTCCCAGGTTGATTTCACTAACCCTAACTTCAGCTCTCAGGGCTTTTCGGTGGGGTTTTTCTTTCTCATTTTATCCACTTGTGACAGTGTTTCAGAGGATTCCATTCTGGTTGAACCTAGCCCTTTGTAAAGTGTACTGCTCCATACAAACTGCTCTGTTTTCTGTAAGTGCTCTCCAAGCATGTCGGTAATGCTTCTTTCAACCCTTTTTTCTGAATAAACATCTTTACCCACTTATATCTTTCCATGTCTTTTTTCTGACCTTGCATGCTCCGTTCTAGTGCACGGCGCTGATAACGTGAAGTGCATTTCTAATTTGCAACTCTCTTACTATTTTCCAAGTTGACGTTTTCTTGAAACAGTCACTTATTGTTATGTTGGCTCTATAGTACAACTTCTGATCGTAAGTAATTCTTTTTTCTCTGCGGTCTGTTTTATTAAGGCTTACACCACCAGAGTGCTGGAGGTTACTAAAACCCATTCTGCCTGAAGCAAAGCCACACTGCCACAAACAGAAAGGCTTTCACATAATGGCCCCTGTCTGTTCCCCCTTGTCACTCACCTCAGTGGTTCATGTTTCCCACCTCTCTCTGGCTCCCACTCGCCCCTTTCTGTTGCTCATTCTGCTTCTTCCCTTTGTGCCTCTTTCCGCTCCCGTCGACTGATGTTTCCTCTACAGCCTCCTGGAGGCTCCTCACACAAACACATGCATGCCACCTCGAGCCTCATAGGAAATTCTGCTTCTGCAGACAGGAAAAGGAGTTAAGTGCTGGTGTAAACATGTATTGGTCTTATAGCCATAATCACCTCTGTGAGGACCCCTCATCCTTTCATGTGTCCGCATCAGGATCTGGTGACTTCTGCAGCCCAAACCAGAACCCTCACACTTTGGCCGGTTCCAGTAACAGCAGCTCGTCGTGTGTCTGTGCTGCCACACGGCTGATTGGGTAAAAATCTATGATTGAAATGGAGCCAAGCGCAGATCACTGATTTGATTGATTGATAAGCAAAATGCCTGCTGGCACACAGGTTACCTTGGTTACCAGTAGCATGTAGCTTATATGTTTCTGTACATACACAGTCTGGAGCTGTACTCTGTGTTTGGTTTCCTGAAATGATCAGTATTTTAAAATTCCCAAAACACAGGAATCAGAAATAAGAATTACTTTTACTTTGTTGTAGGTCAGTTGCACCATGTGTATGTATATTTTTTATGTATTTTTTCTTTTTCTTTTTTATATATATATATATATATATATATATATATATATATATATATTCTTTTTTTTCTTTTTCTTTTTTTCTTCCCTACCTTGATTCACTACGTGCCACAGAGGGTGGGAATGATAAGGAAAGGCTCAGATTTACAGCAGGAGGCTGTGGAAGAGCTCAGCTTAATTTATTGAGAGAGTGGGACACCACTAACTTAAACCGATAAAACAGGACACCAGGCAACCTGACTGTAAATACCAACACCAGCTGAATGCTGGGGATCTGACAGGGAAGGTGAGAAGCCAGAGAGCGTAAATACGGAGGGGTAGCTGATCAGCTGGGACAGGTGGGTGACCAGAAGAGGGAAAAATAAATAAAGAACCGAGACAGGAGTAGCAGACCCAAAGCACAAACAAACTGGGATGTGAGGACTAATGAAAACGGCAAAATCCCAATAAAAGTAACAGACTACAGTACGAGAGAGGCAAACAGAAAGCAAATCCAGTCCAGAAACCCACAAACCCAAAGACCCTGCAGGAAAACAACATCATGCACCGGCTGGAAGCTAAACTCCCGTTTGTTCAGTTCTATTTTCTCTCCAACGTACTCATAAAAGCCTGGGCATTGTCCTTTTGTGCATCACAGTGCGTCCCATAGGTAAAGTATTGTTCTGACTTCCTCCATCCTATTTTTAAGCTAAATTTTTTATTTTTTCTGATTATGCTGTTGTAAACTGGTGCTGCAATGTTGTCCACAGTTTCATTCTTTTCTTTCAAAGATTGAATCACAATTAAGAAAACAAAAAGAGAAAGATTGAGATTATTTGTATGTAATGTCACACACTGACGTTTGTGGATCTTTTTTAGTTGGAGATGTTTAATCTAGGTGGTTATTTCTGTGGGTTTGGGGCTACTTTGTTGCTCCTGTGGATTTTCTTAATGGTAGCACTGGTTAATGATGTCCTCACATCCAGGATCGTGGTCCTGACTCGGCTGGTTGATAAGAGGACACCTCTTTAGTTTTATTTAGGCTGTTATGATGTAGTCCTAGCGCTGCTGAGGTTGGAAAGCTTTCAGAACACGCCCTGTCAGACTAATCAGATTATTGCTGCTGAGATGGATGTGATGAATGCTGCTTTTTTCTAAAAACTTGTTGCTGGCACAAAGTTGATTTTACCCCCGTGGATCAGAACTGATTTTCCTGAGGGGCAATTGAAAGAGCTTTTGAGTGAGAGAACAAACATTTCACTCACATGACAAATCCAATGAAAACAACATTATTTTTGCTTTGAGAGACAAATTGTGGCCATTCAAGCTAACGTGAAGGAATAATCGCTGCATAACCAGCAGGAAAAAAGGGCTAAAGTTTTTTTTCTAGTGATGGTCCACTTCTTCTGTCCATTAGGGTGTAACATAATGTCCGTTCTTTAAGCTTTTCTACCATTTCCAGTACAGTGGAGCTACTTGGTATAATTGCAAAGAGCAGAAAAAATGTGAGTGTCGCTTTTCTGTTTGATGGAAACACTGGTGACAGTTCCTTAACGGAAATCCTTCTAAGGGTTTCTGCCCTCTTTTGGTTCCTGCCTGTTTGTTTGTGTTTACTGGAGGGAAACAGAAGAAGGATGATGGTGAAATGATGGAAGGATCTTGTCTATCTTCTCCTCCCCCTCTTCCGTTGTCTCCTTTTAGCCCACCATCTGGTGTTGTCTGCTCATGCCTGCGCTTGCTGTAGAACAAAGACGCGGCGCTACCTCGCCGTCCTGCGCCGTACCGCGTCTTCCTGCTGCGTCGGCTGGCTTTGTGGGCGCCTCGCATCCACACACGCTCACACACGCGTCGTAAAACGTTGGTCTGTAAATGTCTGTGCACACGGACGAGCACGCGCCTGCTGAGTTGGCTGGTGTCTTAAAACTAATGTTTGAGACAAAGATGCTCTTTCCTGCCTTGATACACTTCGCACATATTCTCTCTTCCTCCCATTTGTTCCTTTGCTCACTTTTTTTTTAGCGCGTCTCACTGACAGCTCCTACTTTTTCATGTATCATAGCACAGGAAAAGACACTTATCCGGTTCTGACTCTCATGAAACAAGCGAACAGCTTCACACATATTTGACTAGTCAAAAAAGTTTTTTTTTTTAAAAACATTTTGTTTTTGCATTTGTTGTCCTGTTTTTAAACTAGTTTAGTATTTCGACTAAAATAATTTGTCCGTCATTTGTTAAAGTGGTGATTAAATTATTTTAACTGTCAAATGTCTGCATGTCCGCCAAGAGTTGTGATACCATGGAAGTGTGTATGGGCAGAGTTAAACGGGCTCGGCAGGTTTTGATGAAGACCAGAGGCACGTTTCAGTCTCAGTTTTTACAGACTGCTGAAAACTCATTCTGATATCCAAACATCCAAATGAAATCAAGCTTTTCCAGATCAACGAATAGCCGAAGACCTTCCATGTGATACTACCAGTAAAAGCCCTCACAGTCAAACTGTTCCTGTTCCTGTGTGTGTAAACTCTGTGGAGCTCCGCTTTGGGCGTTTGTTGGTCTACATGATGGACTTCTGCTGGTTTCTTTCCGTTAGAATATCAGGGGACATTCTTTCAGCTGCCAGATGCTCCTCACACACACACACAAGCATGAAATCGGTAAACAGCAACCGGTGACAAAGCAACTTCATGAAGCGGTCTCTCCGGTCCTGCTGGGGCTCGTCCATCACCTCTGGAGCCGTCAGTGTGCTGCTCTCCCTGTCTGCTGCCTCCATCTGCGTCTCAGTGTTACATCTTGCTGATATTGTCACCAATGTGACCTCATAGAGTCACTACAGTAGATCCCCCATCTGTCACACCCTCAGAGACCCGTGTGTGCTCACAAATCCACACAGGCACACACACACACACACACACACACACACACACACACACACTCTCCTTGGCAGCTCGGCGGCTCTGCAGGAGCTGCCATCTTCCCAGCGGAGAGCGGTGGAGAAGGGTATCGCATCGCTCTTCTCTTCTGTCTCTGCCACTTCTGGCTTCTTGCTGTTTACCAAAGCTCTTTCAGCTTCATCCCGGTATCATGGCTGCATCACCGTGGAGCCTCATGGAGCAGAGACCCCCCCACCCAGCCGTGTCAGGTCCCAGGCTGGCTTTTTCCCAGCTCCCGCTTACCAGGAAAGGAATAACAGTAACACTCCAGTGAACAGCAAAAAGAAATGGATCACAAAAAACAATCTGTGGTTTGGTTTAAAAATCAGACCCCTGGTAATGCTGGATCCCAGTCTCCTGCAGCCAGCGGGGATGGGACCCGGGGCACTGCCGGTTCTCAGCGGCTTTCAGAGCCGGCCTGCTTTCCAAACGGCCGTGTGCTGGAGCTGAGCCCGTGTATGAGAGGCAGTCTGAAGCTCTCTTTGATGTGAATGTTTGCACAGAGCTCTTCTTTGGAGTGCTAGCTCTGGGGGGAGAGTGCCTGTTATCCCCCCGTACCTCAGCTGGATTTAGCCTCCACAGCCTCCATGAAAGACGCACCTTTCTGAAATGTAAAGTGTTTTTCTGGAAATACTTCTGCGGTGGATTAAAATATTTCTTGCTACTACAGCAAGCGCAGGCATGAGCACATCCATAAGATGTGTACTGATTGTGGTGGGCCAGGGGGGATTATTAGCCCGAAGTGTCTCTGGATTTGGTCCAGCAGATCGTATGAATGCACAGATCTGGGAAAGTCACCTTTTAGTCTGCGTACAAATTTTTATAATTATAAGCAAGTCAAAGGGAACTGTATTTTAGAGGACTTGTAAGACCAAATGGGACTGATAAATCTTTGTCATCACCATTACTGTTGTGATTTCTAGGGCAATAGAAACAAGTAGGTCAGTCACACCTTTATGTTAGAGTAAAGGGAGTTTGTGTGCTCAGCACAGCAGAAGTCTGGTGGATGAAACTTCATTATTACACAAGCACCCTCTCTGAAACTGTAGATTTTTGTGGAGATTTTAACAAAATAATTGTGCTCCTATCGTCATGCCAACCGTTGTCCCATTAGGGTCACATGTCATCAGTCCATCTCTGAGTCCAGCCTGACTTTTTTTCCACCTGCTCAATATGAATCCCTCTCAGAGGGGCTGGAGGTGCTTGTAGTCCCACAGAGATTACACACAGCCATTACAGGAGAGGGTGATGAGGGGGGGCTGGGGGACCCTCCCGACTGGTCAGTGATGGGACAGCTATTTCTGTTGGTCAGTGGCTCAGTGGGACGTGCGGTGTATGGGAGTGCTTTACCTCACTGGTTTGTGTGTGTGTGTCCCAGCGGTGTAGTGTGGCTGGGGTGTTTTTGTCTTGTCTCCGTGTGGTCTCCTCATTTCCTGTTTTATTTTGATAGGTAACCCTCCTCTCGTTTCAGGTCATGTGCACTTCCCTGTGTGTCATCTGTCCAGTTGTCACCTATTGTGTTCACCTGGAGTCCCCTCATGGGTTAAATAGTCCGCGACTACCCTTGTCTTGTGCCAGTGTGTTTCGTCCCACGTCTTACTGAGCTAGACCAAGTCATAGTAAATCCTTTACTTTTTGCCTGGAATCCCGTTTTTTCCTCGTAAGAGTGATTTTGATTTTGTGCCTCCTAGTTTTTGTTCTCGACTCCTTTTGAGTATTATTTTTATACTTTGTTTATGAATTTTTGCTTAGTTTGTTTATGATTTTTTCCCTTGTTTCGAGTGCTCTAGATTTGTTACTTTTCTCTCTGACCTCGTTGGGTGATATTTATTTTGTACTTTGCGTTTCCACTCCTCGCCAGTGCGCTTTGATTTATAGTAAAACCTTTTGTAGCTGTACCTCTGCATCTGAGTCCAGCCTGAGTGGCCACTGGTCAGTATCAGTGTGTGTAGAGGTGTGCAGCTCGGTGACTCCTGTTTTACAGCTTTCAGATGAGGTCCTGGTCACTGTGCTGTCCAGCTGCTGGGGACGGAGGGGTCTGGAACCGCGCACTGAGCCTGTGTGTGTGTGTGTGTGTGGAGCCTGTGTGTGTCTCACCTGAAGGACTCATCGTGATCCATCTCTTGTCTCGTGATGTACTGCGTCCTCGTGTCTCTTTCGGGCCCACTCTCCATTCCTCCTGTGGAGGTGATGTAGGCGAGGAAGCCGAGTGTTTTTGCTCATTTCGGCATAATGCGTCTCTCCATCATCTCTGCTTGCGCTCTGCTTTAATAAAGCTCACACACACTGACTGAGCTGTCTTTGTGATAGCGCCTCCTCCTCTTGATCCATCATCATGGCATCCCATTTAGATGTTAAACGACCTGCACGGGAAGGTTCATCTATGCAAACGGCTTTTTCTGTAACTGAGTGGGTTTGATAGAGTTAATGTAGCAAAAAATCAAACACCTTTTTCCACAAATGGAGCGCAGGCTCACAGAGGCTGGTCGCCCTTCTTTATTCTCCCATTGCACGGAAATGCCCACCCATCATAGCAAAGAGGGTGGAACAATTGAGATGTTTGATGAGATTATGGTGAGCTGTGAGAGTGTGTGTGCTCTTGTCGTCTGGTTGTTTATCCTTTAGCCTTTTTCCCTGATATCCACACTGACTAAAAGGGGGCTCTTTCCTCCCCCCCCCCCCTCAGTTTAAGTCCACACACAGGACTCCGGTCTGATGCTGGATGATGACTTTGCAGGCAAGTTGTTCAAACTCCCAGACTGTGCTCATTCATTATTTTACCGGGAGATTTAATGCATCACCCAGACAGATAAAAAATAAACAACAACTTTACATACATTTGCATATTTTTGTCAGATTCCATAAAACATTTCCCAGCTCTGTGGGTGGTCCGGACCTCCAGCTCAAAACTGCTGCATCAGACTTCTGTGCAGGAGAACAGCCCCCATCATCTCCTTTAAGCTCTCTGATATGAATTCTCTGTTGTGCTGAGTAGAAGAAAAAGAAATCATAAATAACAAAGGAAGGAAGTTGAATAAAATAAATGCAAACTGTGGTGGTGGAAGGGGAAACAGAGCAGCTGCCAAATGCTGAACTTTTCTGGGAAGCTAACGCAGACACTAATAAACTCTCAGTGGGATTGTGTGCAGACAGTAGCTTAAACACGTTTCTACAAGGGGGTGTAGAAGTTCCCTCCGAGGTCGGGGAGCTTCCTATCGGGCCCGGGCAGTGGGTCAGATGGGGAGAGGCTTTTCCGGCCGGGGAAAGGGTTTTCTGCAGAGCGGGGGACTTTGCGTGGGCTTAGCGCCGTTAAACCTCCAATCTGCAGCCTAAACCTGAGGCTGCTGACCCACCTAAACTCTCCCCGGTAGCTGGGTGCTGCACGCAGGCCTACCCAGACATTTGGAGTGGGAAATATGAAATGCCGTCATTCATTATGAAGGGTCTGGTTCACCGAATATTTTGGTAGTGGATTTTTTACTAATAGTTTTGGTAACAATGTGCCTCCTGCTGGTTTACTGAAATGATCGGAATGTGTTAATGAACAGCAGGACAAGGAGTCAGGACACGTTTGTCTGTGCCTCTTTTGTTCACATACTGATAGTTTTCCTCTCTTCTACTAGAAGTTGACACAGAAAAATGATGAATAACAACCAAAGGCTTACATTCCCATGATTCATTATTAGGATAGTAGCTGAATTTCCAGTTTTACCTGCAGTTTACTGTCAGATTCTCCACTATCGGCAGATTTGGAGCGGAAACCTGAGGGTGCATTTGGCATCCTGGTTAAACTAGATGTGACTGAATGGGGTCTGTTCCCGGGAACCATGTAGACCTGCCCCCCGCAGCCCTTCTGGGGCTCACAACGTTGAACTAATCCTGGAATTGTGGGTATAATACCTCAGTTTGAAGGGAGGTGTTCAGGACATGGGCACAGGAACACACACAAAAACTTAGTTAAGGAGTTCTTCTTTTTTTCTAAAATTCCAAACTCGACCTAACATGAAGTATATAAAGAACCACTTCGATACATTGAAGCTCCATTAAGATAGAATAAGGAGAGATGAAACTCTGTCCTCTTCTCTGATGAGACATAATTTTTAATTCTTTTTTAAGTCATGGCTTATGAATGGAACCATGACATTCAGTACAAATGGCACTAAGTGATTTATGGGTTTGACCTCACCGTCCTCTGAATCATTGGTCCTGAGCAGCAGAAATCCGGTTTAAAGGGAAATAATCAATTTGCTGTCCCAGTCATTTGTGATGCACCCCACTGGTAAACATGGTTGTGTGATTTTTTGAATGGGTTGTTAAAGTTATGTAGACATAAAAATAAAAAAAAACATTTGAAAATCCTTCTGATTTTGTTGTAATAACTGTTTTTGTGCCCCAACTTTGTGTTGGAAGTTGTGGAAGTTATTGATTTTAATGCTCATTGAAATGTCCTTGAGTCGTGTGTATAACAGACTATTTTTAGATAAATGCTGTACACCTTGCAGTAGAAACCATAATCCATATGAAGTGGAGCTTCCCTGGTTCCCCCGCGGAGCCTTCCAGGCTTCAAACACACACTTTCATCTGGCAGATGTGTTGCTTTCTTTGTTTACAGTGTTTTCCCAGCGTCTCTCCCTCAGACCTGGTCATTACTGCTCTCTGTCTGCCTCGTTAATGTTGTGTTTTTCACCATCTTTCTGGGTCATTTTTTGCCGTGCAGTCTGTCTTTGGTTCTTTTTTACCGCGGCAGGTTTTCCATCTTCCCTCTTTATATCCCATCATGCACTTGCTGCCTTTGTCCCCGTGGCTCTCTGTGTTCATGCTGTTCTTCAATTACCTCTTGAAAATGCGCAATATTATTGATATTGCTGAGCTGAGAGATGGGGGAAAATGGGTATGTTTAAAAGCAGACAGTCCAAATGGCTTTTTCTTTCTTCTGACTCTGACCACTGTTTTTTAGTTCCAGAGAAATTTAGCTGAAAAGCACCTTGTGATGGTCTCCCTCAAATGGAAAAGCTTTTAGTTTAGCTTTTCAGCTGCAGTAAGCTGAACTTTGTCCCCACACCCTCATCCTACTTCCACCCCTCGTCATCCGTCTCACTGCTTCTACTTTTTCTCCCCCCCCTGTCCCAGAAGGACGAGGTATCCTCCATTCCAGGCTTCGTTTTGGAGAACGGGAAGGAACATCTCATGTTCGAAGTCCCCCTCAATGACACCGGCTCGGCAGGACTGGGCATCAGCCTCAAAGGGAACAAGTCCCGGGAGACGGGGGAGGATCTGGGGATCTTCATCAAGTCCATCATACATGGAGGGGCCGCGTACAAGGTGACGATATGTTTTCCTTCATACCATCCGTCTATCCATCCATCCGTCCATTATCGTAACTGCTAATGGGCTCGCGGGGGGGGTGGAGCCTATCCCAGTGGTCAATGGGGAGAGGCAGTGTCACCCAAGTCCATCACAGGGACACACAGAGACACACAAGGACCAACAACCACACACACTCACACTAAGGGCAGTTTGGAGTCCAACCAACCTAACATGCAGGTTTTTGGAGGGTGGGAGGAAGCCGGAGAACCCGGAGAGAACCCACAGACACAGGAGAACATGCAGACTCCACCCAGAAAGGTCCCGGTTCCCCCGGGACTCCAACCCAGAACCCTCTGGTCCTGGTTCCCCCGGGACTCCAACCCAGACCCCTCTGGCAGAGAGGTCCTGGTTCCCGGGTGATGGCTGAACAGAGCTGTGTGTTTGCAGGACGGGCGTCTGCAGGTGAACGACCAGCTGGTGGCTGTGAACGGAGAGTCGCTGCTGGGACGTTCCAATCACGCTGCCATGGAAACCCTCCGCCGCTCCATGTCCCAGGAGGGGAACGTCCGGGGGACCATCCAGCTCGTGGTGCTGCGGGTTTCCAAGGTGCGTTCACTGTCTGGGGTTTGTCTCTGTGCATTCCTCTAATGGAAAAAAAATGGATTGTCCTTTGTCTTTTGTCAACATTAAGTTTGCAACTTAATCTCCGCCCCATTCCTGGTCCACCTCTTCCTGGAACGCCATTTCACTCCCCCCGAACGACAGTTGTTGAAAGTAGAGAACAAAAAGGGTGGAAAGAAATACTGACAGAAAAATATTTTTATATTTAGAATTTGAAAAATATAATGTTCTGATTGACCTTTTTCTGGTTTTCTTGGTTCGGTTTGACAGCAAACTGAATATGTTTAGGTTTAGACAAACATACTGCTGCTCTCATCTTCTCTAAGAAAACACGGCCTTTTTCAGTTTTGTTATTTCCTCTGCCTCTCTCTCCACGCCTTTTAACCTTCTCAGTTGTTCTCGGCATCCGTAACTCCCAACTCTTTTCCCTGTTCTTACAAGTGGCAGCAAAAGAGCTTTTACACCAGAGCATTCACTCTGTGTGTGTATCTCTGTTCCTTCTGAGTAAAACAGCCTTTTTATCTCATCTGCTTTTCTGATTTGGTCCTTTAAAGAGCCCTATAGGCTACAAAAAACCTGCCCCATGCTAGCTAATTGGCTCTACGTGACCTGCTTTAAGTGTAGATTGTCCACCTGATACAAAACACACAGGAAAACTGATACCAACGTGTGTGTTGTCGCCTTCTGGTGCCGCTCAGTGCAGCTCTGGGTCTGCAGGGCGGGGGGGGCATCTGTTCACGTCCACGTTTCCCTCTGAATTGAAAAAGAGAAGCTGACAAAGGCAGGTAGATTATTATGTAACATCAACTCAGTCGTGAATGCTGGGCTGTGGAATGGCCGCTTTTTAGCTTCAGATCTTACATTTGGACTTATTATAATTATTTTATGTTAAAGCCAAAGGAAGATATGTTAGAGTTAGGTCTCCTGAACAGAGTGCCCCGTAGGTTTGCTTATATTTAGTCATTTAATAACAAAAAAACATACTTTTCATTCAAAATCTGAGTCGAGTTTATGTCATACAAAACTGATGTACAAACTTCCTCCTATGAAGAGGAGGGGGACAGATAGAAGTTCTTCCACAGACACAAACACACACAGAAGTGTTGTTCGGGGTCCTGTACGAAGAGGCAGAACCACAAAGGCACAGGCTCTCCGTCACAGAGCCACAATGAAACACACATGGATGTACATTAGTTTTTCTACACACACAGACGGAGTGAACCACAGTGTGATGGAGCCTGGGTCATTTCCTCTGGGACTTCCTCTGCATCTCCTTCTGAGTTACAGAGTCTTCAGAAGACTCAGTGGGACAGGAGGGACTATTAGTAGTAGTACTGAAGCTGTGGAATGGCCTACCAAGTCAGAGAGCATCTCTTATCCTAACTCTGGACCCTCTACTCCTCTTTCTGTGCTTCCCTCTCTCTCTCCTTCTGTCACCACTGATTCTTACTGGGGATTTTCCTCTAAAGAACCTATTGTCATATTGATGATAACTGTAAAATTGTGTCTCCTTTGTAAGTCGCTTTGGATAAACGCAGATACATAAACATTGACTCCAGTTCTAGTGTTTGATGTCTTTCTGTTCGACTTCTTTTAATGTATTTGTATTGTGTCTCCTCAGTTTTAGACTGGGAATCACTCACCAGTGTGTGTGTGTGTGTGTGTGTGAGAAAGACTACTGAGTAATGGAGCCTCTGCCTGGTTCTTTTCAGGATCAACATGAGCTCTCACCCAGTCGCTCACCTGACAGCTCAACCGGCCTCTTGGGGGGGATGAGTCCTCTGAAATGTCCAACCGGATTGGTCAGTCCAGCCTCAGAGTCCAGTCAGCCTCCCCTGGTGACCAACGCCATCTATGCCTCCAGTGGTGGGTGCTTTCTTTTTGTTCCACGTCTTTATTATTCCTCAGTGAGAATAAGCCTCTGTCACTTCAGAGATGGTCGAGGGTGCTCCCATCCTTAAATGTAAGAATGTTTGGTTAAATTCAGTCAGTTTCCCACCAAAATTCGGTAAATTAAGATTTAAAGCGGAGTTTACTGAGTTTCTCTGCTATTTAACATTTCCACTCTACTTTGCACACTTTTTTAAGTCAATCTGCTGATTATAGTGAATATTTGGCTGTTTGTTTGCAGTGTTTGATTGTTTATTTATCACTCTGCTTCTAACATTAAAACACTGCCCATCTGGAAACATGTCCAGCTCTTCTGCTGACCTCACATCCCTAAAGTCAGCTGAGATCCACCCGCCTCCATTTTTTCTGCCTGAATCAGTATAAATAGACTAATAGCTCAGCTGGAATTAATCTGAAAAAAACTGTGTGATAGACACACAACAAGGGGACTGACAGCTCCATAAACACAGCATTACTGTTATCTGCCACCCATTTCTGACATTCTGTTTACCGGCCTAACCCTAACCCTAACCCTGACCCTAACCCTGATCTCCCGGCCTTAAGATCTGCATTTGTTTTAGTTACAGTTGTTTGTGTGTTACTGTGGGTTTGTGTGTTTGTTACTGTGGGTTTGTTACTGTGGGTTTGTTACTGTGGGTTTGTTACTCTGGGTTTGTTTGTTATTGTGGGTTTGTGTGTTACTGTGGGTTTGTGTGTTTGTTACTGTGGGTTTGTGTGTTTGTTACTGTGGGTTTTTGTGTTTGTTACTGTGGTTTGTTTAACTGTGGTTTGTTTGTTTGTAACAGTGGAGGTTTTGTTTTGTGTAACTGTGGTTTTTTGTGTTTATTACTGTGATGTGTTGTTACTTTGTCAGCTAATTGTGGTGGGTTGAGTTGTTTGTAACTGTTGCTTTGCTGGTTTGTTACTGGGGGGTTTGTTTGACTGTCATTGTGGGGTTAGGTTGTTTATTATTGTGTGTATGTTCTTGGTTATTGTGTAGTTTGTTTCTTGCATATTGTGGGATTTGTTTGTCATTGTTTTTTGCTGTGGGTTTTGTTTGTTTATTTTTCTGGGATTTGTTTGTTTGTTTTAGTGTGGTTTGTTTGTAACTGTTTGTTGGTTATTGTGTAGTTTTGCCTTGGAGCTAAGTGTGCATCGTATTGCATTTTAACATGAGCCATCTCTCTTATGCACGTTTGTGTGTGTGTGTGTGTGTGTGTGTGCATGTGTGTGTGTGTGTCTGTGTGTGTGTGTGTGTGTGTGTGAGCTCCAGCTTTGGGCAGCACTGGTTCTGCTTTGGTTTTGGGTCATAAAACACGTCTTTGACTTTGCACCACTGCTGAAGAACGTTTGGTTTTTTTGTTCTTCTTGAATGATGATTGCGACTTTGTGCGTGGGTGTGTGCACGTGGGCGTGTGCACGTGGGCGTGTGCACGTGGGCGTGTGCACGTGGGCGTGTTGGATCAGGGATTTCTGGTCAGCATCAGACGGCGTTTTTCTGTTTACACCAGATCCGGCAGACTTCTCTGACCTCGTTTCCACTTTTCTGTTCGAATTCACCTCAGCCGCTCACACGCACACATTAGTGTGTGTTTGTGTGTCTGTGTGTTTGTGAGTTTGCGTGTTTGTGTGTCCGTGTGTTTGTGTGCATCTCTGTCAGGCTCTGAGAGAGTTATTTTGTTTGCTCGGCTGGTCGTTAGCATGTGTTTTGTGCCTCTGCCTGCTTGCCAGTATTTTGGTCTCCTAATGAACTATTTCACACACTGAATTAATTTCATTTGGCACTAAAGTCCAAATTAGAATAAAGATCTGTGCTGTGCGCTTATGCAGAAGAATCAAATGAGGAGTCGACTCCTTACATATGGATTTATGCAGATGTTTTTTTTTTTTTTTGTATTTATAGACGTCTAATTATTTCTCATCTCTGTGTGGATCTCATTCTGTTGGATTCTTCTCGGTGCTCTGTGTCTTTCTGGAAGGCTCATCTACTTTTACTGTCATAAAAAGCTGTTTCTGATATTGAGTAATCCTTCTTAATGTTTTATAGGCAATCTCTCTCCATTTTGTGAAGCTATTTGAATCTTCCATGCCGTTGTGATGGTCCAGAAGTTAGCAAAGGAGCACCGATCTGACCCTCTGTGTGACATCACCGGCCAAACTCGGAACGGGCAGCCAGCTCAATCAATACACAGACACGCTGAATTAATGCATGGTGTCGTTACGAGGTCTTTGAAGAGTGGAGCAGGATTTTTACAGTCATAAGTCGAAGCACTGTGATGGAGTGGCACTTAGCTGGGACAGGCTGCAGGTCTTCATGTTGCCCTCAGCGTAACTGATCCGACAAATATTCTGCAAAGGGAACCTCTCATTGGTGTTTTTAAAAGCAGAGAGCAGCAGAAATGGGACGTGTGGCATCCAGAGCTTGACCCATAAAAGATCTCTGAGACTCCTTCACAGTAGACTCTCCTACTTACTTCACTCTTTGCTGTTATTTCAGAAATACGTTTTCTTTTTTACCTCCAAATAAGATGGCGTAACAGAAGTCACATGGGTAGTAAAAGTGACTGTGTCATCCAAACATGTATCATGTTATAAATTTAGCTATTTTCTACTTTGGAGAAGAAACTTAAGGGGTCTTTATTACTAAAAAAGGCATATAGGTTTAATCTGTAAAATTCAAGACGGATCTAAGTTTGTAGTCACAGAACATGTAGAGAAGAGAGCAAAAAATGGATCCCATTCTCATGAAGCTGCTCACAGAGAGGCTCAGTGGTGCCTCTGGGTCTTTGGTTTTGTGGTCTTTCTTTCCTGGAGCGCACACCTTAAACACGGGGCAGCTTCTATGAAACTCTGAGCGATTATTCCTGAAACTTTTCCCAAATCCCGTCAGACGCTTTGACGTTCGGTGGCCAGAGGTCAGGTCATCTGATCTTACCGGTCAGGCCGTCCTCCCTCTGAGCAACGAATAATGGGCCTTGCGAGCTAAAACCAGATGGCGGTCCAGGGTTGCTGGAGATTTACTGCACGCTACAGCAAATGACACAGCTTTTAGCCAAACCAGAATAGTAACATTTTACCGACTCTGTTCACGCCTTAATCCCTATGTCGGTTCAGGTAGTGGACAGTAGAGACCAGCCGGGCTTCACCAGGGCAATGAAAACCATTAAAAAGATAAATGCAGACAACAGGAAGAGGAGTTTGATTATTGAGGAAAAGGAATGATCCATCCTCTTTTGGAAGGGACTGCCTTTGATCTGCCGTCCACAGCCAAAGCCGTTTGGGACTCAGTGAGAACAGATCTGTGTCTGCGTGAGGTGAAACGGGAATGTGTTTTTGACAGTTCGGCTGATTAAGGTGCCAGCAGTAAGGAGGAGGAAGGAAGTTTAAACGGGGGGTGGGGGGGAGGAGGGAAAAAAAGCTGCAAAGCGAGTGGGAGATAAAATGATTTATGAGAGATCTGAAGGAAGTGATAAATGGCAGCTGAGATATCAGATTGCAAGAAAGTGAACTGAAGAAAAATAAAGCAGGTGATTAGTGTGTGTGTGTGTGTGTGTGTGGGGGGGGGGGGGGGAGGGGGAGATGAAGGGGGTGCGATATCCTCAGACGTGCGCGTCCCGGCCTCCGGTTGCAGCCGTCTCGGCTTTCACGTGCACAGATGCGAGCACAAAGGCCGCGCGGCGAGCTCGGCTGGGCTCGCCGGGGAGCCGTGCCCCCCCGGATCCTCTGTGTGTGCAGCGAGACCCGCTCATCACATCTGCCTCACACATCTGCCCCGCTCGCCTGCTCCGGCTTCCACGCCTTTGTCCTCATTCTTCATCTCCGCCGCTTTCTCTGGGTCTCAGCTGAAAGCCGGTGGAAGCCACTCCGGGGCTAATGGCTGGTTGTGTAAAAATGAGTGGAACACGTGTGCGATAATCAAACCGGAGTGCTGTGTGTCTTCATCTTCTTCTTCAGTAACCATCTCCTCTGTGCCTCAAAGATCATCTAACGAACTACAAATTGCTTCCCTCAGCCCACTTTTTGAGTTTGTCTCGTGTTTATTTGATGGAATTACGTATGCAGAACATGCAATTGTGTTTGTACTCATTTAACATAAAGGTAGGGGGGCAGAGCACCCCTGCTGTATCCACACTGGAGGACCTCACAGAGATGTGCTCTGGGGCACCTGCATGTCAGAAGCACTTGGATTTGATCATCATGGAATCGGGAATAAAATATGTGTGCACAGCAGAGTCGTTCAGGTTTTTTTTACCAGAGCAAAGCTCTGTAAAGTGTAGCAGCCGGTACGGAAAGCTAGCTTGATCTTGGTTCGTTTATTTAAAGAATGGCTCACCGCCTTTGTGCTCTTCACAGTTGGTCTTGTCAGCGGAAATGTTCAACAGAATGGCTTTTGAGACCTCACTCATGGGTTAGCCGGACCACACCCTCCTTCCCTGTTGACAGATAGAAAGAGCAGAAATGGCAAGAGAACTGAATTACAATAATGTTTAAGAAAAAAAATAGTGATGATGATTTAGAGCTGTTCCAAAATGCCTCGTTGCACATCTGACCTGGGAAAAAGCCACCAGTTATTTTAGGTGTGAACCTGAAACACAAAACTAGGAGCCTTCTCCATTTTCCTTCCATGAATTCTCTCAATTATTCTATCCTAAATGTTCCTTTTTCCACTGGGTAAACTTCTTCTACTACCTTAGGAGCTCTAGCAGCAAAGTCCATGCTGATTAGTGTGGATTTGTCCTGTATCTTTTCAGGTTCAGCTCCAAACTGTCCCAGATAAGTCAATCTGAACATCTCAGGTACCACTGCTCCTTTTATGGGGCGATCAGAAAATGTTGCCCAATCATCATTTTTCATCAAATCGATTTAGTTTTTGTTCCAGAAACAAACTTGTATGTTGAATATCTGCTCCGCCTTTGATTGGCTGCACTGTACTGCTTCTCCTGACTCGTGGTCATTATCTGTTTAGTGACCAATGGGAGCAGTTCTTACATGGACGAAGAAGAGGAGGAGGGGCTGTGCGGACACGTGACCGAGATCAACCAACCCTCCTGTTTCCAGGACAGGTGTGTTTAACTGTTTCTGTAGGAAACCACAGAAAGCAGGCGGCGGTTCTTAATGATCCTGTCCCCCTGCTGGTGTGTTTCAGGGGGAGCTCTCGCACCGGTTGCCCCGCCCAGCCGCAGGCCCCCAGCCAGAACCAGCGGCAGATCCAGCACATCAAAGCCTCCAAGAGCATGGACCTGGGTACGAGTCCGGGCCAGCCTCCCAATGGTGGGGACACTTCCTTGTGTTCGCGGCGTCCTCTGCATGGCGGCTGCATCCCTGCTCATAGCGGCTGTTCTCACACACTCACACCGCAAGCTTGTGCACACGCCGTGTGACCTGGTGCATGCTATCTGTTAAAGCATCTTGTTCTCTGTGGTTGATTTTTAATTTTTTTTTGTTCTAACTTACTTTCACGATTGTAGAAAGTTTGGCCAGAATCACAAAACAAAACAAAAACAAAGCCCTCTATATCTACAGAACTGAAATCCTGTGCTTCCTCCTCAGTAATGAACTGTCTTCTTCTTTCTGAGCTTCCTCCTGGTTGCTGATGAACCAAAAGAAAACACAGAGAGCATTAAATCCCGAGCAGAACTGAAAAGCCAGGGTCATTATGGGCTATTATTTCTGCGCCCAAATGTCAGAGCTTTTACCACCTCTTGCTCCGCTATTGCTGAGATTCTGTTGTGAGGGTTGAGTGACATTTCAGCGACTGGTAAAAAGCCGCACGTGCACGTGCACGCTCTCGTGCGTGCGTCAGTGTAGTATGACAGCGGATGCAGCAGAGCAACAAAAGCCCATTGTTTGAAATGTCACAGTCCTCAGTCGTCCTCCGCCAGCTGGCTGTGCTGCGTTTGGGTTTGTGTGAGAAAGTCTGACAAGAGGAGGAGACAAACTTACACTGTGGACTGTTACATCACTTCTTTTTCTAGTTTTACACACTAGTTCAACAAATCTGGTGACCTAGCATCTTTAGTCTTATCCCTGTAACTGTGCCTACAGCCCCCAGGAGCCCTCTCTGATTGGTTTCCCTGATTCTGATGCTAAAAAAATGCATATTTTTTAGAACAAATACAAAGAGTTTATACGTGCAATGTACAGAAAATATATATTTTTAAAAGCTCCATAAGCAGCACAAAAGAAGAACTAACCCAGAGCCGGTCAGCATCCCATCACACAGTCACGTGTTGACTAATAGAGCTCTGCAGAATATTGCTCAGACTCACACGTGCACGCCCACAGACGCCAGCATAATGGCGTCATATCTCTTACTTGTTGTGCTATCGGAGTTGGACGTGAAAAAAAAAAAAAAAAGAGTCGCGGAGGTTCTCGCAGAATGAATTTTAAGCTTAATTCATTCACACTCAGTTTAACTTGACACATTTTAATTAAAGTGATCATTCAGAGTCAGGTGGTGAGGCCTGCCCACAAAGTAGGAAAACAATAATGAGCCTGCAGAGCTTGATTTAAGTATTAATTCGCTAAAGATTATTACACCCTAGATTGCTGTGAGGTTAGCAAAGCTATTTAGATAAGAGGGGAGGAGAATATTCCGGCATGTCTGAAGATATTATCGGTGATCCACAGAAAGACTCTGTGTGTATTATGGAGAAACGTTAAATGACAGCACAGAAAACAGAGGACACAGAGCCCATCTATGGCAGGTCAGTTAAATAACCTCATTTTTATAGATCTTATCCTGACGGTTTGAATTAATGTGACCCAGACGAGCTAGTTTAACCTGTATCTCTTAGCCCTCTCATCAGTCTGCATACGTCCCTTCCTTTCCTGTTTTTTTATTCCCTCCGACTCATTTTGCTTTGAAAGAAAACAAGTTGAGGATGAGTTTATATGGGTTTTGTTCAGGATCCGTCTAAATGAATCAACTCCAAGGTATTTTGTTAGTTTAAACGGGCTATTTTTTTACACCCTGGTGTGTTTATTTGTGTAAATGCTGGAAAAGCTCCCTTCCAGTAACGCAGCCTTAAGCCTGGCTGGTGATTCACAAACTTCCTGGCCGGCTGAGGACTGGTGTTGATTCACGGCAGACAGATGCTCTCAGATAAACACATTTGCGGTTACAGTTGAGGCTTACTTTTCATTGGGGAAGATTAGCTTGGTGTGTGCGTGTAGCGGCGCACTCCCACCAGCCAGCGCCTCACTGGCTTAATAAAGGAGCCCCAGAAAAACCAGGCGAGAGAAGAATTAACAGAGACTGCTGATCAAAGCGTGGCCAAGAGAGAGAGAGAGGTGAAAGAGAAATGAAATCAGTGAAAAAGAGACGTAAGGGTAAAGGGCAGAGGGCGATGGGGAGGGTGAGGGGCAGTGGTAAAAAATGAAGAGGCAAAGGGAGGGCGGATGAAAAATGAACTGAGAACAAAGGAAGGAAGGGATGAGGGCTTCAGTAGCAGGGAAGGAGACTCAACATCACAGGAGACAAGGGCAGACTCTCCTCCGTCTGGTAAAAGGAGATGGAGAGAAAAACAGTTGAGAGACGGATGGCAGGGAGGAGGTCAGGAGTAGGGGGGGGGGGGGGGGGGGGATGATGGAAGCTGTGAGCATGTCCTCGTGTTAACATGAGTTTGTTGTGTTTCAGTGGCAGATGAGAGCAACCTGGGACCACAGGATGGAGGCAGAGCTGGTGAGCTATCTATCTATCTATCTATCTATCTATCTATCTATCTATCTATCTATCTATCTATCTATCTATCTATCTATCTATCTATCTATCTATCTATCTATCTATCTATCTATTCCTTGCTGCTGGGGATGAATTAAGGAGGTCAGTTAAGACTCATAAAAGGACTGGAGGGAGGGGCAGTACTTCAGCCCCCCCCCCCCTCCTACCTACAGGTATCTTAATGGTGGGAGACAAGAGGCGCTCTTATCTGAGGGAAGCCCAGCCAGACGCTTAAAAAAGAACTATTTCCTCAGTTGCCTGCAAATGTGTCTTTTTTAAGATCTGAATCTCGAACTTTTCTCTTGGCCTTAAAGTCTCCCCTATTTAATTTATTCCTCCTTGAATTTGAGAGCACTCTTCATTCAACTCAATTTTAGTCTGTTTATACCATATTTACTTTTTTTTATCCTGTCATTCAGCCTTTTCTAACATTCCCCTGCAATTAAAAAGATACAAGCTTGAGTTTAAGTGTTTATTTTATTAGACAAAATTTTTTAATATATATATATATATATATAGAGAGAGAGAGAGAGAGCGAGAGAGAGAGATGATTTCCTGTCATCACGTCTCAGAAACATGTTCCTGCTGCTTTTTTATTTGATCACAAGTTCATTTACACACTTCCTATTGTGTACCTGTTGCTAATCCGGAGCCCTCTTGTTTTATGAAATCTACAAATTCCAGAGAGCTGTGGGAGCGTTTTGGCCTGCCAAGCTTTTTCCAGCCCACTTTCGCTGGCTCTGACGTTTTTGGGGTTTTTTTTCTAGCTGAACCGCATCCAGTAGCTCTGTGGTGGGATGTGGGACAGCTGTGTGGACACGGTTAGGGATGGGATTGGGGGTGGGGTCTTGGAAAATGTGCCGTTTAAAGACAATGACTTCTGGGAAAGCAGTTTTTATTTTCCAGCAATGGTCTTTCCCTTCCACACTCCAAGAACCAGCGGCTCAAAATGTCCACACTTCCACCCGGCTCTCCCCCGAGGTGGTGCTGTGATAACGGAAGGGCTCTGTCATTCTGGGGGGAAAAGTAAGCTCTGGGAGAGTTCCAGCATCATTTGGCAGCAGGATGGACTCCAAATGATGGAAACTGTACTCTGTATTCCAACATGTTCATCCGCTCTCTGGAAAATCTCCCTGACAGGGAGCGAGTTCCTTTTTTTTCTTTTGACCAGAAGCATCTGACATGCAAAGAGAGAGCATCTGAACTCAATTTAGCTCGTTTGAAACACAAACACTCGGGCCACATAGAAGAGTCCTCAGCTTGGCGCGTTAGCAAACCGAGCCTGGGAGTGCTTCTGGTCAGACGTGCTTCACATCTCTGTGGTGGCGCTGAGAAGGGAAGCTTTATCATTCCAATAACAAATGAAATGGGGAAGAGGAGGTTCAGAACAGTTCAGGACAGAGGGCCCGTCTGAAGGAGGACGTTTAGAGTTGGTCCCACACACTGACAGGAAGCGTCTGCTGTTGAAAAACTATAGAGTTACTCAGATTCTGCTCTCAAAATGGGACACTTCAGTCACACGCATACATACAAAAGCTGTTGACAGAACATAAAAGGAGCAGTTGCAGCTGTCTGTCTTCCTCTGTGTCGTCCTTCGGGGAAGAAGCCGGCCCGCCGAGCACGCTGTGTGTTTGTGTTGCTCTTAACAGCCAGTGTGTGAGGGACATTTTCTGGCCTCAGTAAAGGGTGAGCAATTAATATCCAGAGAAAGGATGAAAAGCTTGTCAGGGTGTTTCTAGGTCTCCGTGTAACCCCGCGGCCTCCTTTATTGTCTTAATGTGCGTGGGGGGGTTTAATCCCTGGTAGAGATGTGTGTCTGTGAGTTTTGTTTTGTGGCTTTTGATGCAGTGTGCTGGTATTAAACGGCTGCTACGCCTGTCTGCTTTTGTTGCTCCCGTCTTTGTGTTTGCTTCCTCTGCCCGCTCCCCGTCTCTTCCAGGCTCTCCCTCACTCCTCTTCCTGCCAACGCCATTCAGGCTTAGCGGCTGGCAAACAGGCAGAGGAGCTTAGGACAGAGAACATCTCTCTGAGAGCGTCTCTGTGCATGTGTCAGGGGGCCGTGTGATGCTGAGGGACACTGGTGCACACCATTGTCTGAATCCCTCCCCAGTGGAACTTTGACTTTGAAAAGCGTCACACTGATGAGACGCTGCCAGGATTGTGTCTTGGGAGAGCCTCATCTCTCCGTCCCCTCCTGCCTCCTCTGCTCTGCGATTGTCTGCTCACTCCTCTCTACATCTCTCTCCTTCTCTGGGATTTTCCCTCATTCTTCTCCTTTGCTTTTTTCCATTGTCCTCCCTCCACTCTGGCTCTTTCAGACTTTGCTTTCGATTTAACCCGAACGCCACCTTGTTATGCTGATGTGGATTGATGGATTCATTTGTCAGAAAGGGGAGCAGCTCAGCTTGTGTGTCTGTTTGTGCGTCTGTTTGTGTGTCTGCAGCACCGCATTAGCTCTTCCCAGCTGTCATCAGACGAGGAATTCAAACAGCTGAACTAAGCACTCCCCGCGTTTCATTTCCCTGCTATTCATTATGTGCTCGTGTTGAGGTTCGATCTTCAATCCATTTTCAAAGCCCGTGCTCTCTCCCGCTGGTTGTTTAGCTCCCAGTGGCGTTTCCGTGTCTTTGTGTGCGCCGCACGCCGCCTCTCAGCGTACGGAGTTGGCCTTTCACCCCTCTCCATCTCCCCCCGTTAGCCAATAAAGGTGAGCAGTAATCAGGAGATGGTCAGCGCTGTCGCTCCTGGCTGCTGCAGCCATTCATCTGCAGGCTTTATACAGTGATCACTGACATGGGCAGTTCTCTATATTTGATCATGCTGAGGGGAGAAAGGGGACGGCTGGCCTCTCTTTATCATGCAGGTCTGTAAAAGACCCGTCCCTGTTCTCAGAGCAGAGGGAGTTTATTCTGCTGGCTTTACGCTATTTAATCTTTTACAGTAATGTGTAAATGTTTTTTGTAGATTGCAGTTCATCTGTAAAGAATTAAGAACAAAAACAAAAAAAGGTGAAACACTTTCCTGCCCTTTGTGGAAAAAGGCAGAATCCAGTTTTCTGCATGAAGCACAATGGAGCAGTACTTTCTGCTTTATTTCAGCTCTATTTAAGGGGCCCTATTTCTTTATCTAGACCATCTAGATTAAAAATAAGATTGATTGTCAGTTTCTCAGGGCTACTCGGCGACCTCTCACTCCCAAACTGGACCTGCTGACCGAGCTGAGGTGGACAGCAGGGGACAATCTATACCTAAATGTTGCTGCCTCAGGCAGGAAGGCCTTGAACCAACCTTTATTTTCCATGGATGCTCCCCTGCGTTCTGATTACAGTACAATCTAAAATGAAAATTCATCCTCCAGTATTTACACCAAGTTTCCAACATTTGCATCCTCCTCTTTTTTTTATATTTGAAACTCAAAGAGCTGGCCTTTTTTTAAAAGTAGTCTCCATTATGGTGGAATTCCTTTGACATGAACCTTTGAAATGAGCTGCATGCTGATTTGGGTGCAGGGCAGAGGTGGGCTTCATAGACTCCAGCACCAAGTCTAAAGCTTCTATTGGGATAGAGACAACAGCAACTTTTTCATCCTGTTATTAAACGGATAGGAAAGAAACAACGGGACGAAATTATCCATCAGCTAAAATTTCCTGAGAATGGCATTCCTGATGGGGGGATTCAGTAAATATTAAGGGATGAGACTGAGGAGTATTCGTTTTTATGGCCTAATTCCTGTCAGGAGGAGGGAACTGGCGTATCTCAGGTCCTGGTTCCAGGACCAGGCTACTAGTCCTGGAACACGGGGGGACCTCCCCTGATGGGACGGGGAGAGAAGTTGCCTCTCGTCGTTATGACTGGAGATCCTGTGTTCTGTGAGTTCAGCAAAAGTTTGGGGCTGTGCGTATGTGCGCTGGCTCTGGAAGTGAGCTCCGCTGTTAAGCAGGTCCTTGGTGGAGTTTGGACTTTGAGCGTAGCTCGCCGCTTTCTGCCAATAAAACGCTTTGGGATAGCTTGGCACTTTCTCTTTATGCTGTTGTCTTTCATTTTTAATCCATGTTTTTTTTCTTTTGTTGTTTTTTCTCTCCTTTTTTTTTTTTGCCTTGTTATCATTCCCATCCGGCTCCTTTCAGTTTCCGGATTGATGCCTCACTTTTTCCACTCCGTTTGTAGCTAGCTGGCCCATCCCCCTCCAACCATTTTGATATTCTTGTTTTGCTTGGCATCCCTCTTTCCCTAAAAGCAGCTTAATTCTATCATCTTACAGTTGGACAGCAGTAATTATATTTACGACACAAATCCTGCTCCTCGCAGCAGAAATGTTGCCGAGGCGCCGCGTTTGAGTCTGTGGCTGCAGAGTCATCACCCAAAGTGTGTGTGGAGCCACATCTGGGCTTCTGTGTGTATTCTGCTTTCTCTGATTAAGCAGCCAAACAACATCAGGCTATTTATAACACTATTTAGGTCATCCCACTGCCAACTGCTTCACTCAGTTTGGACGTCCCCACGCGGGGGTCCACATGTAGGACTTCTTAAACCCGATCCATGCTGAAACTGAAGACCTCCTTTTGTCCGGTCGAACCATCACCTTACCTTTCTGACACTGGTGGAAATTTACTTTGGAGGATTTTTGGCTGCATCGGAAATTTATTGCAGAAGTCTTTGAGCATCTTTAGGACCAATCTGATTTTTTACCCAGATTCCATTCATTTGCATTTATTCATTCATTCACTCGTGTTCTTTCGTGTTGGTCATCTGTCATCGGAATGGCCGACAATCCCGCGATGTGCACCAGGCTTAGAGCGACATAGTCAATCTTCCTATTATCTTCTAATCCGGGGTGTCTCTGGGGGAAGTTTGTTAAACTGTGGAGAGAAATGCGAGCATCATTCTGGTCATGTTCCTGGCAAATTCAAACACGTTGGCACAAGGAGGGAGAGGCCTGAGATTAGATTGTGAATAATGGAAATAAGACAGGGAAAATCCAGGACGCGTTTATTCCTGGCTCTTATGGCATGGACCAGATGTCCTAATCCGCTGGCTCTGGAGTTGTGAAGCCGTGGATCAGGCCTTCAAAGGGGTGCCTCACACTCAGTCCCCCCGTTAAAGAGTGTGTGCAGTTTCTGATGAACAAACCGCTGGTGTGTAGCCAAATGTACAAATTCCTGTGGAGCTGCTGGACTAGGACTGTTAATAACGGTGATGACAGATTTAGAAGTCCAAATGTTCCCCTGACTGATTAACATCATGTTTAATTACTGTTGCGTTTATTTAAGATGAGAGTGGATGAATGCCTGGTATGTGGGGCGGTTAACAAAACACCACTAAATTAAATGTGATCACACTCATCTTCATGCATTATCAATTAGACCTCTCACTCGCCCAAACACACTCGTTTGAGCCCCTCACTGCGATCGGGCGGTCATTACCGCCCGGTCCTCAGCGTCCAGTGGGGATCTCTGACCGCAGAAAAAAAAATCCTACGAGAGGGATGTGACTCCCAGTATGTGCTGCATGCACATTTATTGAAAGTTTCTGTTTGCTGAGCAGTATTCTAAAGCCCCGGCACCACTCCGGCTTGATTCAGCCCAGATGAATCACATCCAGATGCACTGCGATGCTTAATTATTCAGTCCGCCTCTGAGTGTCATTTGGACTCTGTTTATGGATGGAGCCGCGCACGCCGCGGCGTTCTCGGCTCTTCTCGCCAAGCGGCGGACCTACATTATGCATGTGCATACTTCCCCTGTTCCTTATCACTCGGTGTGCTGTTGGGCGTGTTTGGTTAATGGTTGTTTAAATGGATGTGGAAGTCACATCAGCCCTCTCATCTCCCGCGCGGGGAAAGTGCCCACACACAAAGAGCAGCAGTGTGTATAGGGAATCATTAGCTAAAGTGATGCAAGTTTAGCTATCATGAATCAAAGTGGCATCATATCGACAAGCCACAGCCAACAAGGAATCCAAATTGTGTGTGTGTGCGTGTGTGTGTGTGTGCATGTAAGGATTACCAGTCTTTTGAGTTGGCATCAGGCCCAGATTTCCTTTCTTCCTCCACTTTTTTCTCTGTCCCCTTCCCTGCCACCAGGGTTTTCCCTAATGATATTCCCTGCTGGACTCCCTGTCACCGTGCCCCCCCCCCCCATCTCCATCTCCTCCCTGTTTTTGGTGACACAGTGACAATCGTATTTTTTCTCACCCCGGACCTCAACTCAACTGACTTGCAATCAGTAATCCCCCAAAATGGAGTGCAAATCCCACTGGGGCCTCTATGTGAGTTGGATCCAGCTTCTCCGGTCAGCGTGCCGTTAGCCTCAGATGGATTTGGGCTGCAGGGTAGCAACCATTACGAGGCGGTCTGCTCAGTAAAGAGCCTTTCAGGTGCACTCTCTTCACAACTCCTGAACTGTTTGGTGCTCTTGGCATCTTAAACTTCCCATCATGTCTAATCTCTGTTAGAATCTCCTCTGAATTCTCCTGCCGTTGCTCCATCTTTTCAGCTTTTGCAACCCTCTTCATCATCCTGTTAGACCCCATCCAATCCGTCTATTTTTTTTTAGACCGCTCATTCCCGATGGGCAGTGGCGGGCGCACCCTGGACAGGTCACCAGTCCACCCTAACAACCACACACACTCACATTCACTCCGAGGGGCACTTTAGAGGGCCGCCTGCCCCTTCCCCCAGCAACAGCGCACGGCGCACTAGCGATGATGGATGGAGAGCCAGTAACACTGAAGCAGGTCTTACATCCATCAGCAGCATAGTTTAGTGCATCACATATTTCATGTGCCTGGCTCTTCAGAGCCATGTCATGTTCCTTCTGGTTTGTCCATGTGCCGTGAAGCACTGATGGGACAAAACCCAGCAGTCAGACCCGGAATGGCCTGTGTCCTCTGTGTTGTCAGTTAGGGATATTACGATCCAGCTTTTTGCTCTTCCGATCAGATCCCGATCCCGGCCTATCAGAGCCTGTACTAAAGTTTAAAGTTATTTATCTACTTACTTAATTGTCAGAATCATGGGATTTACTCTGATAACAACTTTATGGTTAGGACACAAATGCTAATGCTAATGCTCGTGTGGGATCGGACTTTTAAAAAATTGGATCTGGAGTCTGGATCTGCATTTTCTCATGCAGACAAATAGCATTTTTTTGCAAATATCGGCGGCCGATCGAATCCAGATATCGGATCGGGACCAGCCTAGTCTGGGTACATGTGTTCAGGTTTATCTTCATCACTGATGCTTTAACAACTCTCATTTTCCCCCAACAGCAGCTTCTACTCCGGTGGAACTCGGGCCGACCCTGGGCTTGAAGAAGTCCAGTTCCCTGGAGAGCCTCCAGACGGCCATGTCAGAGGTCAACCGGAAAAATGAGCTCCTTCCATTCCACCGCCCACGCCCAAATATGGTCAGGGGAAGAGGCTGCAACGAGAGTTTCCGAGCAGCCATTGATAAATCTTATGATGGGCCGGCCGAGGATGATGAAGGTAGGAGACATGAAGTGTGTGTGTTTAAGGTAGAGGGACCCATCTATCATCTTACAGACTGCCTTAATGTCCTTAAGTGGTTGGCTATATATTGATCTCATTGTAAGAGAACAATTCTTAATCACAATTTAATCTCACTTTTTTTTTTTTTATTGGGGGTGACAGTTCTCTGTAGAATTTCTTACATTTCACTGAATTCATTCAGTGTGTTGGACAAGGTGGAAGAACAAGTTTGACATCTATGCTAACTTTCGTGAGTTAGCATAGATAGTCTTAAATGAGACAAAGTTAAACAAGATTTAGGTTTAATTACTCGTATATAGGTTTTTACTTTAGAGCCCCATTATTATACAGAAATACTCAAAGAGCTTTGAGAATGCTTTACTTTTTTCTGTTCTCTACAGTTCATGCACAAGCTGGTGTCACATGACTGACTATAGATTGAGATATCCAGACTTTTCTTAGGTTTTCCTCCACATGCTGCCTTTTTTCCAGAAGAACAGAGAATTCCGTCTTCAAATTGAATTACTAACATACTTCTCCAGTTCCATTAAGATGTCATTTTTTTTCACACCTATAATGTGCAAGGTGTTCCTCGATTAAGCTTTCCTCGGCAAAGTGTGTGAGGGGCCGCCTGCCTCAAAACATCAGCACATATTCCCTTCCAAGCTGCGTTATTAGCAGCTAACTCTTATCAGTCAGCACCAGAGTAATGAGTCGCACTGGTTTCAGATCACTGCACTCACAAAGGATAGCACTAATAGGGCATGTCAACACCACACACACACAGTGCGGCATCTGTCACCATCTTTCTAAATGTTCAGCACTTTCAGAGCGCCTGTTAATTGACAGAGAACACTTTGAAGTGCTATCAGTATCTCTCATTCCCCCCGTCTCTCTGCTTATTTTATTTATTTTGCATGGGCTGGAGTCACTCCAGTGCCACTTGTAAACTCCTATGAAAAACAACACACCAGAGTGGGGCTGAGTTTTACCTCCAGACTCCGGTTTTGGATGTTTGTGTGGGATTTCTGGCTGAGGGAGCTAATGCCATAGTGCTTCACAGTTTACAGCGGATCAGTCTGTCACTTTAGCGGAGCATCTGATCTAATCTGAATAGGAAGTCTGTTAGCATTTCAGTTTCAGTCTCAGTTCTGCCGTTGATGGAATAAGAGGAACAGCTGATTGCGTTTTGGCAGCCTACTCTAACACACTTTTTGACAACAGTGGCAGTTAGCTCAGCCCTCACCCAAAGCACGCGCCGCCCGCTTTAAGAAACAGATTTTGTTTTTCAAAAAATACATGTGTCGGATGCAGCTGTGCTCATCAAGGTCAGCCGTATAGGACGGGCAGCAGGACAAACAAAATACACACATCTGACACACACAGACACACACACACAGCTCTGTTCTACTGGAAGACAGTCTCTGTAATTAAAGCTGAAGTGGATATCCAGACAAAATGAAATGTCAATTGAAGTAACTAATTCGGTTTGGTTATCACATCAAATCTAATGAGCGCTGTGTGTGTGTGTGTGTGTGTGTTTGCCCTCGCTCTCGTTACCTCATTAGGAGTTTTTTTTCTTGTTCGCTGACCTTGTCAGGAGCAGAGAGACCCTTGTGAGGCTTGATGTCACTTTTAAAGTCGTAGTTTACGTTGAAATTAGGCATAAACTGGCCATTGTGGAGGTTAGGTGTGAGGCTCAGCTTAAAGCGTTAAAGTGAAAGTGAATGTCCCAAAAAGGAAAGCCATGTGAGTGTGTGTGTGTGTGTTGAAAATCATTGTTATTCAGGGCCAAAGCTCCAGTCTGCTGATTGAGTAATGAGGCATCGCAGTTTACGCTTTGAACGCTTTTACTTTCTTATTTCGGGGAGTTAATTAGTCCACTGTAATGGCTAGTAAATGTGTGGATGGGGAGTGGGAGAATCTGAGAAGCAATCTGTCCCAGTTTAGATTGGGGCTGCTCCCATTGTGGTGTCATGCTTTCTGTTTTCCTTTGTGTGTTTGGAGGTGCTGGTAGCTGTTGTAGCCACTATGTACCCCGTCTGTTTTATATGCTTCCACTGTAAAGGGCTTAGCTCACCGTTAGGCCATCCTCACTGTCCACCTTTGAGAGTTAAACTGTTTTTACCCAACATCAACGCCTTAATTTGAACGTTTTTCATTTGTTGCAGCCATTTTAAGTTAAAAAAAAAAAGTTAAATTCAAATAACAGGGTGGAGCTCCTTATTTTCCTGATAGTTTTGCTTTTGTTCATAACGTCCAGCTTGTCTTCTTTGTCTCCAGATGAGGGTTCAGAGCCCAGTTCAGGCCGGGACACCCCCGCGAGCAGTTCGTCCCGCCAGGGGGTCGCCGACCGCCCAGAGGAGAAAGGCAAAAAGGACAAGAAAAAGAAAGGCAAAAATAAGAAGAAAGAAAAGAGCAAGGTGAAAGCGAAAGAGAGGGAGAAGAAGAAAGCAGAGGAGCCGGAAGAAACGGAAAAGAAGAGCAAGAAACTAGGCTTTGGCCTGTTGAGGTGAGTTTTCAGCCACAGGGTTCAGAGCTGTGAGGAGGTGGACTCTCTGCTGTGCTCCTGGCTTGTTGTTTAGAGGAACGTTTCCATGGAGATGTGATGCTCAGTCCCTCATCCAGGCTGACTCCTCTCTTATTTGTTGGTCAAAATAATCTGTTAAATGTTTGCCTCATAAAACATTAAGTTCTATGAAAAGAAAACAGTTCTTCTAAAATCAATATTTCTGTTCTTGTGGTTATTGTTGCTCTGTTATTTATGTCCCACAGCAGAACAGTCATGTTCACCTCGCCCCTGTTTGGGATGCACACCGCCTTAAAATGCACCCAAAAGAAGGTTACTGTTCAGGAGCCGGAAAAAGGGAGGGAAACATGAGTCTTGGATTCTGTTTTAGGAAGCACAAGAACAGGCAACAGCAAGGAAACTGAAAATAGGATGGATATAGATATGGGCATAGTATGAGATGTTTTTTACCCAGATCGAAACCTCTGATGATGAATATGAAAGGAAAAAGCTGAAAATATGTCTTGTGAGGCTGTGAGCCATCCATTTGGGAACAAAAGGTTTGAACAGAGTGATGTCTGATGTCTGTTTCGGGTGTTGATGGGCTGTCACACCCTCATGGTCTGCCACCTGTATCCAGGTACCCACAGCCCCACTAGCCTGGGAGAATGTAGTGTTACTCCTCCACCACAGTCATCCGTATCAGTACCAGTGAGTTAAATGTTTCAGGTCTCATATGTGAAATAGCACTGGGTATTGGCTAGTTATTTTCTATAACATCAAGCATGTACCCTTTAGGTTATATAAAATAACTGATTCAGTTGTAATTTTGGAATCCAAACAAGCAACATTTAGCATCTTCTGGGGATATCTTGTCCTGCCATGGAGGCTGTGAGTCCACCAATAGCTGCACAGCAGAGGCTTTGGGCTAAAAGGAAATCTTTTTTTTAAATACTCTTCATTTCGTGGACTTTCTGCTTTCCTGTTGTTTTTTTTTTCTTTTTTCTGATTACTCTTATCTGTTTTGGAACCATCTTTTTTCTTCTCTTGAAACCCTATCAGATGCTCCCAGATACAGACAGAGCACTCTGAGCGGTGCCCCAGTTTCCTTAAGAGGTGCCGAAATTATCTGCCAGAGCTATTTTGTGTGATTAACTTTAAAAGTATGTATTTTCAAGTGTGAATGAAACCCTTACAGAAAAGAGCATGAATGAGGCAAAGTGTTTCAATGAACCCCTTCGTCTCCTCTCTCCTTTGATTTCTATCGTATGGCTGATTTTATTTTTTGTAACTTTAACAAGGCTGTTTGTGAAGTGAGGTTTCACATGACCATTACATAGATACAGATCACATTCCATTTGCTCCACACAGTATAGTTCAAGCCTGTGAAAATACACTAACAGCCGTTTGTTTGAAGCAGAACACTGAAAAACACTTCCAGATTTCAAAGTTGCATTTTATCACAACGATTATATCTGGAAATTGCATGCTATTTAAAAAGAAATATTAGGCGATTAGACTAATGTGAGCAAATTTAGCTTAATGGAATATGCTCAGTGCTCTTTGTTTGGAAGTCTCCACCTTTTTAATGCCCTCCCTGACCCGTTCAGCACGCTCTCCATCCTGTTCTGCAGAATGCAGTCATGAGAAACATTTATTCTCTTTTCAGATCTTCAAATGCCATCTTTGTAATGCCGTTTTAGCCTGTAAATCTGTTCATGATTGTTCAGGTCATTTGCTAAAAGAAAAACAGATGAACTCCGTGCAGCACAGCGTGTTCCTTTGGAGCCGCCCAGGTTAGTGACCCGCTTCTCCTGCTGTCCACGGGTTCGCTGGCTCCTCTTCTGTTTGGGGTCTTTGTCCTGTTGAGGATCCAGTTTCTGGTGAGGACAGATGGCCTCACTAGAATACTTTGGTGTCCGGAGTAGTTCAAGGTGGACTCGATGCTGCAAGGTGCCCGAACTGTCCCAGACATCGTCCTTCCCCAGTGTCCTGACACCTGGAGAACATCCTCCCTCCGTCTGCTCTCTCCAGAGGACTCTGGTCCAGATGTTTCGTTTATGGTCTGTAGGTTTGCATGTAGCTCCTGGGTTTGTGGCAGTCTTTTGGATCATGGCGTGCTCTGACATCGGGGTGACCACTGGGGTGTCGACACCGAATTGTACTATTAATGTCCGAGCTAACGTATTTCCTCCTTGGTTTTGTGTTAACACAGAGGCTCTCACTCTCACTGATGAGTTAATCGAACGCTTTTAATTGGACACATTCAAAATGGCTGCTTTCTTAATTCCTGTGGTAGCAGAATGGGTGGACTTAGTCTTTCCAGCATGCTTTGGCTAAATGTTAATGGTGTAGTGTATCAAGTGTTGATTTTAATCTGAAAAATTATTTACCCAGCATTCAGTCCTGGTAACAAAAAGTAGACTTATTCTTTTATTTCCTGACCTGGAAAGCCTTAGCCGTGGGAGCTGTCATGCACGTGACATGGCTGGAATCATCTGCCGTTTCCCAGGCATTAGTATGTTTTTTTACTGAGGACGCTCTGGTAGCCAGTGAGGTAGACATGGTCAGAAAAGTATATTTACACATGGCACTATAGGACCACCACAATTTCATACAATATACATAATTAGGGGGTCCCCGCTCCATCAGTTTGGGGGTCCTTGGCCTGGAATACTTTGAAGACCCCTGGTCAACAGGGATGCTCCAGTTGTGGTGTTCTCCAATACGACTGTCCAGGTTTTACTGGTGGGCACATGGTTTATGTTTTTGCTCACCTCCATCACTTCCTCATGTAAGCCTCACAACCTTCTGTGCTGTTTTAAGTGTTTCACAGTTCAGGGTTAGGGTATGGAAACCCATCCCTCTCTGTTCCCTCCATCCCTCTCTGTTCCCTCCATCCCTCTCTGTTCCCTCCTTCCA